CCAACACGCTTGGGGTTTTTCCTAACCCAAGTCCTCAGCTACATGGAGGAATACGGGCAGGACATCCCCAGTGACAAAGCCCGCATCTGGATCATGCAATCTGCCCTGGATGGACCGGCTGCAGATTGGGTGGTGAACTTGCATGACTCCAATGCCCCAGAACTCAGTAACTTCAACCGTTTCATGTCCTCTCTGAGAAGACGATTTGAAGACCCCCTGGCTGATCACAAAGCCCGTGAAAGGATAAAAATGATGAGGCAAGGCAAACGCCCGCTGGCTGAATATACACAAGAATTCCGGGCCATTGCCAGCAAAATGAATTGGCCAAAAGACATCTTCCTTAGTCATTTCAAAGACGAACTAAATTATGATCTATATGACGCTTGCCTACCCCGAGGGGACCCACACCAATTTGAGGAATGGTACATCTTGGCAGAGGAAGCAGAGATCGACATATTGAAAAGACACCGCCGAGGAAAACAATGGAGCCGCCCCCCACCGGAGCTGACACACGAACCGGTGAAATCATCGGCTACAGCCAAGAAGCAAATGGGGTGTTTCAAGTGCGGAAGAGAATGGCATCGAGCTGTAGAATGCCGCTCCAAAGCCCCCCAGCACAACCCAGACAGATCCCCAATCAACAAATCCAGAAAGTCTTCAGCTAAGCCAAAAGAAACTGCCATGAGAATGATGGAAATTGCGGAACCCCCCACTTCTGCTCACCAAGGGGAAAGAACTCCAGCCTACACCACAGGGCCGGTGGATGCCTCAGATGACAGCTCGGAGGGCGAACCCCTGGTAAGTGGACACATCACACCCATCCTCAAGACAGTGACTATATTAATTCCCCCCATGCCCGAAGCTGTGAAGGTGAAAGCCTTAATAGACTCTGGCTGCACCCGCTGCCTCATTAGCCCAACACTAGTGGGAATCTGGGCATCCCATCGAGGAGACTGGAACAACCAATCTCATTTGGCCAGTTAGATGGATCCATAGCAAGGGGGGTGCCAGCTACCCTAGCCACTCTACCAATACACCTCTCCCTGGGCAAACATGAGGAGGACATAACGTTTGTGGTGACCCCAGGCATGGAATGCCCAATGATTCTAGGGATGGAATGGTTGAAAAAATGGAACCCCTGGGTAAATTGGAGGACGACAGAAATCAAATTCCCGAAGGGGGACCCTATGGACTTAAAACCCCAAGGGAGGCTACCAGAATCAAGAATAGAAAAAGCATCCATAGGAGAGGAAAAAAGATTAACAGAAATACCAGAGGAATATAGAGACCTTGCTGAAGTCTTCAGTGAGGAGAGGGCGAATGAGCTCCCCCCCCCCACCGACCCACAGACTGTACCATTGAATTCAAGCCTGGGGCAAAACTCCCGAAGCCCAGATTATACTCCATGAGCCCAAAGGAAAAGGAGGAAATGGAAAGATTCATTAAAAAAACCTAGAGAGAGGGCTCATTGAGCCAGCCAAGCCTAAAGTGGCTGCCCCGGTCCTTTTTAGAGAGAAGAAGGATGGCTCTTTACATGGATTATAGGTCCCTGAATACAATCAGTGAAAGCAACCTATACCCTCTACCCCTCATGAAAGACATGCTGTCACACCTATCGAAAGGGAAAAATTTTTCTAAACTAGACCTAAGGGAAGCTTACTATCGCGTGAGAATTAAGGAAGGGGACAAATGGAAGACTGCATTTAACTGCCCCATGGGGTGCTATCAATTCAAAGTCTTGCCATTTGGATTACAAGGGGGCCCTGCTGTCTTTATGCAATTAATCAATGACGTTCTAAGAGAGCACCTGTTTAAGGGGGTCCTTGTTTACTTGGATGACATTCTTATCTTCACCGAAACAAAAGAGGAACATGTCAACCTAGACAGAGCGTTTTTAAAGAAACTGCGAGCCGCTCACCTATATGCCAAACTCTCAAAATGCGAATTCCACCAGGAAAGGATAGACTACAGAGGTTATCGCATATCCCCCCAGGGCATTGAAATGGACCCAGAGAAGGTCAGAGCAGTATTAGATTGGGCACCACCCCGCACAAGAAAGCAACTACAAAGTTTCCTGGGCTTTGCAAACTTTTACCACCAATTCATCCCCTCATTTGCCCAGATAGCCTTGCCCCTCACTAACTTACTAAAAATGAAGGGAACATCCTCAGTAAAACCTAGCCAGCCACTAACATGGACAATGGAGTGCCAAGCAGCATTTGAGAGACTAAAGAGACTTTTTTCTGCCGAACCAGTACTAAGGCACCCAGACATGGACAAGCCCTTCGTAATACAGGCAGATGCAAGTGATGTGGCAGTGGGGGCTGTTCTATTACAAGAAAACGGTGATGGGAGTATTGCAACCCTGTGCATATACATCCAAGAAACTCACGGAAACAGAACAGCGCTGGCCCGTATGGGAGAAGGAGGCTTATGGGATACGTTGGGCATTACCCACGTGGCGACAGTTCCTGGAAGGCAACAAAATCCCCTTCCAGGTGTGGACTGATCACAAAAATTTGGAAGCCCTGAAAACGTCCAGGAAACTCAATCCCAAACAAGCCCGCTGGTCCCAGCATTTTCACCAGTTCCAATTTAAGCTCAAACATTTACCAGGGAGAAAGAACTTCCTGGCAGATGCTCTATCTCGCATGCCTCAATATAACAGCGCACGAACCACAGACTCTAGACCAATAATGGCAGAGTCACAACTGGCAGCACCAGTAACCACAAGAACCCAAGCCAAATTAAAACCACAACTGGACAGCCAAACTGGAATTGAATTCCGAAAAAGTTTGGAAACAGATGAATGGTTCCAGAAAAACAAAAATGTGTGCACAATGAGAGACGGGTTGCCTTGGGTAGGGGAAAAGTTATATATACCAACAACCCAAAGAGTCACTTTCATGCAGCTTTGCCATGACACAAAATCAGCAGGGCATTTTGGATTTGTAAAAACTTTACATTTAATTAAATGGCAATTTTGGTGGCCATCCATGAAAAAGGACATAGAAAGTTATGTGGCCAGTTGTCCAAAATGTGCCACAGCAAAGAGGTTGCAAGGGAAATCGCCAGGACTATTGCAAACAGTGGCAAGTCCCTCAGCCCCTTGGAGAGAAATAGCCATGGATTTTATAGTGGAATTGCCAGAAAGCAATGGGAATACTGTGGTCTGGACGGTCACGGACTTGTTTTCCAAACAGGTGCACTTTATCCCTTGCCAAAAGATTCCCACTGCAAAAGCCTTAGCAAAACTTTTCATCCAGCACATTTACAGATTGCATCATCTCTGACAGGGGGGTGCAATTTACATCTGCATTTTGGAAGGAATTTTTATCCCTCTTAGGAACCACTCAGGGACTGACATCTAGCCACCACCCACAAGGAAATGGGGGGGGGGCTGAAAAAATGAACTCCGTACTTAAGCAATATTTAAGATGTTTTCTTAGTTTCCAGCAGACCGAGTGGGCAGACTTACTCCCTTTTGCAGAAGTTGCCTACAATAATGCAGTCCACTCCAGCACAGGTTACACTCCTTTTCAAATAGCCACCGGTCAAAGTTTCAACCCCATGCCAGAATTAACCCCAAACGAACCAACGATCCCATCACTGAAAGAATGGATGGAAAAACTACAAAACACCTGGCCAATAGTTAGAAAAGCACTAGATGAAGCTAGGCAGGCATACAAAGCACAAGCCGATAAAAAAAAAAGGGTTGAGCCTACACCATTCATTATAGGAGAAATGGTGTACTTATCTACAAAATACCTAAAGTCCCTACAGCCCTGTAAAAAACTTGGACCAAAATATATAGGACCTTTTCCAATTAAAAGAATCATAAATCCAGTAACAGTAGAATTAGAATTACCCAAAAATCTCAGGCAAATACACCCAATTTTTCATTGCAGCTTGCTGAAAAGAGAGCATCAGTCACCTCTACGGCCAAAAATCCCCCCCCCCACCACCTCCAATCATGGTGGAGGGCGAACAACACTTGGAAATAAAGGAAATCCTTGACTCTAGGAGATATCATGGAGCAACTCAGTACCTAGTTGCCTGGAAACACCTTCCTCCCTCACAAAACAAGTGGGTCCATAAACGTCATGTCAGAGCCCCGAAGCTATTGAAGAAGTTTCACACAGAGTATCCTAACAAGCCTGACTAACTTTTATACTTGTTTTGTTTTCTTTCAGGTGGATCTCTCTTATTTTTAAGGGGGCCGGATGTCAGAATCCAATTATATTTCATCTCCAGTTATCAATTATAGAAAACCCCATTTCTGCCCTCTCTGGATTCTGTCATAAAGAAAGGGGCTTTATGGCCCTCACTTCCTTCGGTACAACTTCAAAGGGATTGAATGTGGTTAGCACCAAAAGGCCTTATCATAACAAAGGAGGCTATTTACCTTTCATGTAGTTTATCTGAAGTCTCCATCCAGCCAGCAGAAAGGAAAAAAGGGGTGGGATTGTGATGCCTGAAACTGTCACTGGAAGAGGGGGGTGATTGGATGGGACTACTGGGGAACCCCTTAAAACCTCGAATGGGAGAGCTTGAACCCCAAGTCCTGTCTAGAACGCCTGCAACCATTTTCTCTTAATAAAGGATTCCTGTTGGAAGAATTATTCCAAGAGTTCTGTCTTCTTAAGATGCAAAGTGGGGTGGGTCCTTACACATTGATTTTTACTATTTTCAGATATGTATTGCAGTTGTTTGTCATCAGCTGATACATTCAGTCATCCATCTTCTTTTCCCCTCACCATTTGTCTCTATGGTCACTGCCATTTGGCAGCATATAGGGTAGCAGTTGTTTTTTTCATCAAGTTTTTTTTTAGTAGTGGTTCCATTAGTTCAATCCTAGGTGGAAGCAAATTTTACTTCTGTGCTATAAAGCAATCTTACCCAACCTGTTCATTTGCAGTATCTATCATCCCTGTCAAAATTCAAAATTTTGTTTACAGAGAACTATCATATTTATTCCAGTATGCGACAGGCATACTTACCATTTCTTTTCTTGGCTTCTTGATAAATTTTCTTTAATCCTTTTCCTAATGCAGGAAGCTTAATTCCAGACAAGTTGTTTGAATGATCCCGGTGCTGTGCTACAATAAGAGCCAACTAGGAAGATATTCCATTTTGATTAGTGAACAAATTCAGTACACAGAATGGATTGTTAAGAAAAATAATTCTTGTCTCTTTTTACAAATGCTATGTCTTCTGAACTTCGAACTAATCCTGGTAATTTAATTTTTATTTTTCTTTAGTGTATGATTATGTAAAAATGTAAGGGAAAGGAGGAATTCAGAGACAATCTAGCCAAGATTGTACTATAAATCAATAACAGAGTAGTTTTCATATAATTTACTTAGTAAGATGAAAACTGTTTTACATCTATTCTGTAATTTATACTGATATTCAACTATATATTTTACAGGGTTTATATCTGCACAGAATAAAATTTAGAGTTACTTAAAGAAAATGTATGTTTGTGCAGCTACCAAATTTGTCTCTTTTTTTCTTGGATTCCTTATTATCAATGCAGAATATCAACTATGCATTTAATAGGGTTTCTATCTACATAGAATGCAATTTAGAATTACTTAAAAAAAAACATACTGTTATGTAGTTACCAAATCTGTTCCTTTATTCCTGGATTCCTTATCATCAATGCAGAATAAAAGAGTTCCTCCTAACGTCAGATCTACAAAACAATTGACAGGGGTGGAAACATTTAGTCCCATTTAAAATTAAATTGAGGGAAATTTTTCTGAATAGTTGAAGAACTCTAATGAAGAATAAAGTGTCACATTCTTTTTCATTTAGCATTATTATGGCTTTCCTTAGGAAATGAAAGGCAAATGAAAACAGCTCTCTGCAGTATTATATATTGGCAGGGAGTGTGTGCTTCTTTTAAATGCATTCCTGTATAACAGATTGGCTGGAATCAGTGCTTTTTTTGTAAAAAAAAAAAAAAGTGCCGGAACTCACACACGTTATGCAACTCGCCTTGCCTAACCTACAAGGTTCTATCCAAAAAAGGTGCCGGAACTCCGTTCTGGGCGTTCTATGACAAAAAAGCATTGGCTGGAATTAATATTTGAATGAGTGTTGGCAAGTCAACCTTTGGATATCTTGGATTTGCAAAGCTGGGTGTCACTACAAAAATAATGGAAAGAAGACTTACCTTTCATCTTTCCTGCAAGTTCATATATTTTCTTTGATTGGTCAGAACGATTCCCCAGAGCTGTGAATAAACCACCTCTTCCCCAGTGGCCAGAATCATCTGAAACAAAGAATTGTATGTTAAGAAGTTTCACTTAAAGTTCAGGAAAAGTATTCATTACTTATTAGAAATAGAGTGTATTTTCAGAATGGTGTCTTTTTGTTCTTCGTGGAGATTGCAACAACAAATGCAGACACGTTAACAGTTGCAATCCTCATTCCATTCAGAATTCAGAAGAGAGGAAACAGAACCATTATACTGGTAAACTGACAGCATAGTAATTTTAGATTTTAGAGTTGTCTTCATTTAAATTAGTTTTGATAAGTAAATCCCCAATTCTGGCTCTTTATAGCACAGTTTTCTGCCTGCACTAGCTGACGTAGCTGATCATTTTGAATTTGTGTCCAATATTAAGATATAGTTTGACTATTTTAATTTGCGTTTTCTCTCCCATGTTTTTTCTTCTGTATATATTTTTTTCTAGACTGCAAGAATAGTGATTATCTTTTTTTTATAAACTATTCTAGTTTGGGCTGAAAAATGGACAATATATCTATATACTACTAAAACTCTATTTGTCTGTTTATGCCCTCCAGTTAATCCAAATAATGCATTATGCCAGAACAGTTTTTGAACTATAAGAATGCATAAAAAATCTGGGACCTATTTACTCCTCTGGAATTTAAATTTCCACAATGGTCACACCACACTTTTATTCACAAAATTTAGACTGTTGCAGCATTCCTGCATTCATGAGATTATGATTTCCAGTGCTCCCTGACAGCTTCCCACAATAAAGCCTATGTAGAAGCTGGTAGGAAGTTAGAAGTTGCTCCTGTTCATGGTGCATTATATTGCAACAATTTTTGAATCAAGGCTCCTCATATCCACTAACTTAATCATCCACTAACCATCACTTCTGTGGAGTTGAAATTTCCACAATGTTCAGACCAATTAAGTTCTAGCCATGGCAGCATCTCTGCACTCACATGATATAGATATTCTTCTGAGGTGATGATGCTATCCAGAATCAGGGTAAAAAAATAACATCAGCCAAATTAGGCTTTGTGATAAAAGGGGGGAATATCTGTACTACCTTTCTCTCAAAACACGACTCAATGGGTCATAGGTTGTCCTAATGAATTAAAACAATTAAATGTAGTATTTCATTTATTTTTAAGTCAAAAAAAACCTTGTGCGGTTTACCCATAATTATAGGGCTATTCTGTAACTTATGCTAAGCTCAAGCGGTGTATTTGGCATTCCAAGCATAGTAATAAAAAATTAAAGTAATTGTGGCCATCCCCTCACTCTGCGTCAAGAGACAATTTCACTTCCCTCTCCTCTCGCAATTCTGCAAACCTAATCTATATTAACCTTTAATTAAGACGGGGAAAACTGTTAGTTTAAAAATGTAAATTAGGTAATATTTCCATAAACTATTTGTATTTCCATGTTCTGGAATTCTGTAGAGTATTTAAATGGAAGATATCCACTGAATTTAATATTCTGCAGTAACCAATGATGTGTAGCCGGATCATGCTAGCTGGCTATTTAGAACAGATATATTTTATTATAATTAATAGTCCAACTGAATGAGATAAAGCATGACAATGTTATACAACTGATATGTTTTGCTGATGTCCTCTAGATTAGGGGTGACCACAAGTTTAGAGAAAGATACAGTGCAGGAAGCAAATTGTTACATTGTAGCGAATAGAGGAAGGGAAAGCAATAACTCCGCAGGCACATCTCCCCCTGTTTTTAGGTCAGAGGGGATAGGTAGAAATGAAATAGGAATGGGTTCTGACATCCTGCCCCCCTTAAAAATAAGAGAGATCCACCTGTAGAGAAAACAAAACAGGTATAGAGGTTAGTCTGGTTTGTTCGGATATTCTGTATGAAACTTCTTTAGCAGTTTAGGTGCTTTGATGTGATGTTTATAGACCCATTTGTTTTGTGAAGAGGGAATGTGTTTCCATGATACTAGGTATTGAGTTGCCCCGTGATACTTCCTAGAATCTAGGATTTCTTTTATCTTGAAGTGTTGTTCTCCTTCAACCATGATTGGAGGTGGTGGTGGGGGGATTTTTGGTCATAAGGGCAATTGTTGTTCTCGTTTCAGCAAACTGCAGTGAAAAATTGAGTGTATTTGCCTGAGGTTTTGGGGTAGTTCTAATTCTACTGTTACTGGGTTTATGATTCTTTTAATTGGAAAAGATCCTATATATTTTGTTCCAAGTTTTTTTACAGGGTTGTAGGGATTTTAGGTATTTTGTAGACAAATATACCATTTCTTCTACAATGAATGGTGTGGGTTCTACTCTCTTTTTATCTGCTTGTGCTTTGTATGCTTGCCTAGCTTTGTCTAAGGCTTTTCTAACTATTGGCCAGGTGTTTTGTAATTGTGCTATCCATTCTTTCAGTGATGGGATTGCCGGTTCATTTGGAGTCAGTTCTGGCATAGGGTTAAAATGTTGACTGGTGACTACTTGAAAGGGAGTGTATCCTATGCTGGAGTGGACTGTGTTATTGTAAGCAACTTCTGCGAAAGGGAGTAGGTCCGTCCAATTCGTTTGCTGGAAATTAATAAAGCATCTTAAGTATTGCTCAAGTACTGAGTTTGAACGTTCCATCTGTCCTTTGCATTGAGGATGATGACTAGATCAAGGCTTTTCAACCAGTGGTACGGGTACCACCTGTGGTACATTGGCACCTGGCAGATGATATGCGACCATCCTAGAAAAGTGGTAGAGGGGGAGGGGAATGAGCTGAACCAGTGGCAGCACAGCACAAGCCTGAGTGCGAGATGGCTGGAGCTGCAGGGCTGTCAGGGCTCAGTGGAAGCGCCAGGATCAGTGCCAGGCTCCAGCTGGAGCTCGGCGCTGATCCTGATGCTTCTGCTGAGCCCTGAAGAAGCACCAATCAGCTGGAAAGCAGCACTGATCCTGGCGCTTCTGCTGAGCCCAGAAGAAGCGTTGATCAGCTGGAATGTTGCAGCATCTCCAGGGTCTTGTGATTTACATTCAGAAGCTTGGCAACTGATTCATATTTATGACGGTCACAGTGTCCCAGGGTCATGTGAAGTGACCAAAACCTGCTGCAACCACCCAGCAGATGGGGGGAATAAAAACCAAACACCCCCCCATCCCACCACCGCTGCCAATCCTCAACAGAAATGCTCACAACAGTGAAAACATCGGACAAGAGGAAGAGTGCAGTCAGGTAGGCAGACAGGTGTCTTGCTTGGCTGTGGCTTGGAGGGCACTTTTTTCAGTGCCATTGTAACTTCAAACAATCACTAAGCAAACTGTTGTAAGTCGAGGACTACCTGTACTTTATCACTTTTTTCCTTTTGGGGGGGGGGAATCATCAAGTTTTTGACACCTTGCAAGGCGACTGGTGGTACTCGGATATTGCCATATCTTAAAAGTGGTACAATGGGTGAAAAGGTTGAAAAGTCCTGGACTAGATGACAGTTCCTGAGTGGTTCCTAAGAGGGATAAAAATTCCTTCCAAAGTTCTGAAATAAATTGCACTCCCCTATCAGATATGATGCATTGGGATGCCCCATGCAGTCTGTAGATGTGCTGCATGAATAGTTTCGTTAAGGTTTTTGCGGTGGGAATTTTTTGGCAAGGGATAAAATGCACTTGTTTGGAAAACAGGTCTGTAACCACCCAGATGACAGTGTTTCCATTGCTTTCTGGTAATTCCACTATAAAATCCATGGATATTTCTTTCCAGGGGGCTGAGTGATTCGCCACTGGTTGTAACAGTCCGGGCAATTTCCCTTGCAACCTCTTAGCAGCTATGCAAGTTGGGCAGCTGGCCACGTTAACTTTCTATGTCCTTTTTCATGGATGGCCACCAAAATTGCCTTTTAAATTAAATGTAATGTTTTACAAATCCAAAATGCCCTTATTTTGTATCATGGCATAGCTGCATGAAAGTGACCCTCTGGGTGGTTGGTATATATAACTTCTCCCCCACCCATGGCAGTCCGTCCTTGATTGTGTACATGTGTCTATTTTTCTGGAACCATTCATCTGTTTCTGAAGTTTTTCAGAATTCGATTCTGGTTTGGCTACCTAGCTGCGGCTTTATTTTAGCTTGGGCTCTGGTGGTTACTGGCACTGCCAGTTTTGGTTCAGGCGTGAGTGGCTTAGAACCAGTGGCTTACATGCTGTTATATTGGGGCATGCGAGACAGTGCATCTGCCAGGAAGTTCTTTCCCCCCGGCAAGTGTTTGAGCATAAAAAACGGAATTGGTGAAAATGCTGGGACCTGCGGGCTTGCTTGGGAGTGAGCTTCCTGGGTGTTTTTAAGGCTTCCAAGATTTTGTGGTCCATCCAGACCTGAAAAGGGATTTTATTCCCTTCAAGGAAATGGTGCCACATAAATAACGACCATCTCACAGCGTATGCTTCCTTTTCCCACACGGCCTTGTTCCAGTTTGGTGAGTTTTCTGGATGTGTATGTGCACAGTTGCAATACCCCTTAGTCATTTTCTTGTAATAGTACAGCCCCCACTGCCACATAGCTTGCGTCCGCCTGTATTATGAAAGGTTTATCCATGTCTGGGTGCCTCAGTACGGGTTCGGCGAAAAAGAGTCTCTTTAACCTCTCGAATGCTGCTTGGAATTCCATTGTCCATTTTAGTGGCTGGCTGGGTTTCACTGAGGATTCTCCCTTTGTTTTTATTAAGTTCGTGAGGGGCAGGGCTATTTGGGCAAACGAAGGGATGAACTGGTGGTAAAAGTGTGCGAAAACCAGGAAACTTTGCAACTGCTTCTTTGTGCGAGGTGGTGTTCATTCTAGTACTGCCCTGACCTTCTCGGGGTCCATTTTGATGCCCTGCGGGGATATGCGATAACCCAGGTAGTCTATTCTTTCCTGGTGGAATTCGCATTTCGATAATTTGGCATATAGGTGGGTAGCTCGCAGTTTCTTTAAAACCGCTCTGACTAGGTTGACATGCTCCTCTTTGGATTCAGTGAAGATAAATATGTTATCTAGATAAACCAGGACCCCCTTAAATAGGTGCTCCCTTAGTACCTCGTTGATTAATTGCATAAATACTGCGGGGGGGCCCTTGTAGTCCAAACGGCAAAACTTTGAATCGGTAGCATCTCATTTGGCAATTAAATGCAGTTTTCCATTCATCCCCTTCCTTAATCCTAGTGCAGTAATACGCTTCCCTTAGGTCTAATTTAGTGAAAATTCTTCCTTTCGATAGGTGTGATAACATGTCCTTCATGAGGGGTAGGGGGTATAGGTTACTTTCACTGATTGCATTCAGGGCATGGTAATCCATGCACAAGCGCAAAGTGCCATCCTTCTTCTCTCTAAAGAGGACCGGGGTGGCTACCTTAGGCTTGGCAGATTCAATAAAGCCCTTTTCTAGGTTTCTATTTATGAATCTTTCCATTTCGTCCTTCTCTTTAGGGCTCATACAGTATAGTTTTGGCTCCGGGAGTTTTACCCCAGGCTTGAATTCTATGGCACAATCTGTGGGTTGCTAATGGGACAGCTCATCTGCCCGCTTCTCACTGAAAACTTCAGCATGGTCTCCATATTCCTCTGGGATTTCGGGTAGCCCCTTTTCCTCTACCACCGATGCTTTCTCCGCTCCTGGGTTTGGTAGGACTCCTTGGGGGGTTAAGTTCGCACGATCCCCCTTCAGGAAATTGAGTTCTGCCATCCTCCAATTTACCCAGGAGTTCCATTTCTTTAGCCACTCCAGCCCTAGGATCATTGGGCATTCCATGCCTGGGGTCACTACAAACATTATGTCTTCCTCGTGGTTCCCCAGGGATAGGTGGACTGGTAAAGTGGCTAGGGTAGCTGGCATCCCCCCTGCTATGGACCCATCTAACTGGCCGAATGAGAGTGGTTGTTTTAGCTTCCTCACAGGGATGCCCAAGTTCCCCACTAGCATCGGGCTAATGAGGCAGCAGGTGGAGCCAGAGTCTATTAAGGCTTTCACTTTGACAGTTTTGGGTATGGAGTGGGCTAATATAGTCACTGTCTTGAGGATGGGTACAATGGGTCCACTTATCAGGGGTTCGCCCTCCGAGCTGTCGTCCGAGGTGTCCACCGCCCACTTTCGAGGGGCTTTTGAGCAGCATTCTACTGCACAATGCCCCTCCCGCATTTGAAACAGCCTGTTGGCTTCTTGGCCATAGCCGGTGGTTTCGCTGGCTCGCGCATCATCTCAGGAAGTGAGCGGCCCCATGTTTTTTCTTGGCAGTGCCTCTTCAGTAGGTCAATCTCTGCTTCCTCTGCCAGGACATACTATTCATCGAGTCGGTGTGGGTCCCCCAGAGGTAGGTAGGCATCATACAGGTCGTAGTTTAGGCTGTCTTTGAAATGGCTAAGGAGGATGTCTTCCGGCCAGTTTAGTTTGTTGGCGATGGCCCAGAATTCTTGTGTATATTCAGCTACCAGGCGTCTGCCCTGCCTCACTGTTTTGATTTTCTCACGGGCTTTTCGATCAGCAAGGAGGTCCTCGAATCGCTTTCTCAGGGAGGACATGAAGTGATTGAAGTCGTAGAGCTCTGGAGTGTTGGAATCATGCAGGTTCACCATCCAGTCTGTGGCTGCCCCATCCAAAGCGGATTGCATGATACGGATACAGGCTTTGTCGCTGGGGATGTCTCGCCCGTATTCTTCCATGTAGCTAAGGACTTGGGTTAAGAAGTACCCCAAGCATTGCGACTCCCCCCTGAATTTCGCGTCCAGCAGCGGGAATCTTTGGATGGATTGGGTGCCTTCGCCAACGGTGTTGTCTCCCATTCTGATCACCATCTGCGGGTTGGCGGGGAGTGGGGGTTGCCAAAATGATAGCTGCTGTCTCCGCAGACGTCCCCGGGGCTACAGTTTCCGATGCCCCCTCAGTGTCTCTCCGGTTGTAGCCCAAGGTGTTGGTGCGGCCCTGGGATTCAGGGTTCTCCTCCACGAGAGAGCCGAGGGTTCTTTTCATCAGGTCAATAGCTTTCTCTAGGATCCAGTTCGAGTGCTGCGAGCGACCTCCTTCCTCATCGCTAAAGTGCAGGGATTTCTCCATCTCTTGCTTCCATCTGGGTTGGTGGCTGCCCCGCCTCAGGGTCACTTTCCCTGATACTTTTTCCCACTTGTCTTTCTTGCCAACACCCATGGACCACTGAGGTTTGTGGTCACACGTTTCCACCACTTCTTCTTCTGAGGAGCATGACGTCTCGGATCCTGACAACTGGCAGGGTCTTTGCCGGAGGGAGGGCTCCCCTTTCACGGTGGGTTCTTCCTTCCCTGCCCCGTCATCCGACACTGTAGTTTTTGCAAAGTTCCCTGGTAAGGGTCTTCCTTCCAGGTTGATTATTACTGCAGGTCCTGTCTAATATAAGGACCCACTTCAATCCCACATCTTAAGAAAGCAGAACTCTTCCTCCAATAGGAACTTTTATTAAAAGTAGTTGATAGCAGGCATAATAGACAGGATCTGAGGGATTCCTTTGTAGATCGATACTTTAAAGTGTTCCCAAGCAAACCCCACCCCACAGTTCATCCAGTTGGTTCAAACCGGCCAATCCCCAGGTGCTAAGTCCATCATGGGAAAGAGGAGATAACATTGGTTCAGCTGCGGTCATAGTGCAATGTTCAAGCAGCTCTTTGCACCTCCTTTTGAGAACAGAAAAATAAGCCAGGTTCCAGAGGTTGTATTTCTTTCTCTCCCCACCCTCTTCTTAGCTGACAGGTTAGGGAGAAGAAAGTTCAGAGAGAGATGCAGTGCAGGAAGCAAATTATTACATTGTAGCGAATAGAAGAAGAGAAAGCAATAACACCCAGGCACATCCCCCCTCCCCCTTGGGAGTATGGCAGAACCCAGGGGAAAGTGAGATTTGTTTTTAGGTCAGAGGGGATAGGTAGAAATGAAAAGGGAATGGGTTCTGACAGACATTTCCAAATATCTAGACTTCTTTTCCTTTGGGAAGGAATAGAGGGGAATTATGATAGATTCCACCTGCAAATTTCTCTCTCAATAAAGCAAACAATAAAAATATACAATGCACAAAATATCGGCTTTTAGGCTAAAGTTTACTTAACTTACCTACACAATGAACAATTATGGCATCCTCATCTCCTACTATGGGATGGGTAACATCACCCATAATATACTTTATAGAAGTCTGCTCAGAGTCTGTATATTCTAAATGCAACTGACTTTTTTCCTCTTCTTCCTCACTGCTTTCTTCTGACTTAAGGCAGCAAGACTGATAGTGATTGGCTTCCCACAAGGCAATCCTGAATTAAATGGGAAAAAAATCCCTTTATTTTGTATAAATAATGAAGAGTTGATTTTATTGTAAGCTTAAACATCAGCTAAGTTCAAATCTTCTTCAGTACCACTGAAATAGTAGCATGAAAGCAGCCCATATTCTAAAGAGATTCCAGACAAACAAGAGTGCAGAGAAAGGAACGGCTGCCAGTAATAGTAGGCTAATTTACAAATGCTCTTTCACTGAAGCCCAGTGGAACAGAGTCAACTGCTGAGGAAGCAAAGCATGCAAAAAACTTACTTTTTTTGCTGTTCAATCTCTGCTGCCCTCTGCCTCTTTTCTTCTCTGAGCCTTGCCCTCTTTGCTACTCCTTCCTGCATTTTTTTCTGCCGAACTTTCAGCTCTTCTGGGCTCAGTTTTTGCCTTTTTTTACTAGGTCTCATATCAGCAGTCATAAGAATCTAAAAAAATAATCTATAAGATATAATCTTTTTTTTAAATCTCAAATTGCTTTTATATTCCTCTTCATGCACTACCATGAGAGGTTCTTCTGGTCAATTTCCCAGAAAATTTATCAAAACAAGAACACACCACTGCATTAACTTAAGATTTTCCAGATTACCTGGCCTGAAAATTCATCTGAATAATTATAACTTTCTACCCAGTACCTAATTTTGCTGAGTTTTTAAAATTCAGGATTGACTAGAAATTGATGGATAGAATATCAATAGAAACTGGTAAATCCAGCCAAACATAGGATAAAACTTAATCTAAAGGAAATTGATAGTAGAAATTATTTTTCCATCCTATATCCCGTTATGTTTGTATACAAACTCCAAATATATTTTGATACACTAATCAAAATATCAAAACGTCATATTATTCTTACATTTTCTTTATTTCGAAGAATGCTTCCTCCTTGACTGAGGTCTTCAAGGAAAGTTTTCTGATGTTCTAATAAATTATCATATGCCTTCTTGTCCCCTTGGCTAGTTTCCTTGGAATAGTCTTTGCCCTCAAATATGTACATGTGGCCTTAAAAACAAAATGAACCACCAATGTGACATACATTTTAACTTTAAGATTAGCTCCAACGTTCTTTCTTTTCTTTTTAAAATGTTTTGCCATTTAAGAATTCCCCAGTTACTGATAAATGTTAACATCCCTATTTATCCAAATTTGACATTCTGATATCCTTTACTTGAATAAATCCATAAATCAAAAGAAATTTTAGATATTTAAATTGTAAGAATTCAATGAAAATATAAAGAATGCAGAATTTCCTTCCAATTTTATTTCCATACTCAGCGCATGCAGTTATCTTCTAGTTGTAAAATGATGGGGCAGCCTACATATTTTCTTTATTCCTGTATCTGCCCTTTTTATGGGGGGGGGGAAGAAGCTGTTGTATTATACAGGTTTTTTCAAAAGATAAAATTACATTTCAACCACCAGTTCACTTTAAATACAAGCAAAAAATTAAGTTGCAAAAAGCATATTTAAGTAGGGCTCATGAAGATTGTTCAATTCCAATTATTCTTTGTTTTAGCACCCCCTCTTTCATCTATGAGTTAATGGCAGTGTACACAGTATTTCCACTTCCAATTTTCTTCAGTATAATCACATGCAGTGTGTTGGGCTGGCCACAAATCCCTCAGTGAGCATCCACGGCTCAGGTGAGGTAAGGTCTCCCTGCCCCCAGATCAAAACTTTAAGCACTATACTATACTTCTTCTATATACATCAAATGTTAGACACTCCATGTATTTAATCCATTGTGCTAGGCTATAATATTGTTTGCTATATTTAATGACATATGCAAACCCTACCACTGTTATTTATAAAGCAGAATTTCTTATAAACATTTTTAAAGTCAGAAGTAGTATTTAGTCTTAAAATGGCCCGAGAATGGCCATACTCTGAAAAGTAGATCTTGTCAAGATAAATACTAAGATTGATTTAAATTGATTTAAACAAATATGTTTCCTCTCCATGTACTTAATGATGTCCTCCTTGCATTTCATAAAAATTACTTAGCAACAATATCAGCAGCAGCTGTGATAGCCCCACCCAAGGCATTCAGAGGCCACATATAATTCAGAGATCTCAGGCTCCATGTAACTAGCTTGGTCTAGTAGTTAAAGCATAAGGCTAGAAAGAAGGAGACTGGGACTATAAGTCCCACCTTAGCCATGAAAGCCAGTTAGGTGACTTTGCGCCAGTCATTACCTTTTAACTCAACCCACCTCATAGGTTTGTCATTGTGAGAAAAATAGGAAGAGGGAGTGTGTTGGATATGTTCACCGCCTTGAGTTATTTGTAAAAATAATAAAGGCGAGATACAAATAAATAAATAATAATGAGAAAAGCAGACCACCACAGTTTATTCAGCAAAACATAATACTAACTATAGTTTAGCACAATGTGCATGTTCATAAGAAACTTTAGCAAAGAGAATAGAAAAATATGGACAGCATATACATGTAATGTTAATGCTCAAAACTAAATCTGAGTTCCAAGTGAGGAATCTGATTTCTATTGTATTTTATATTTATGTTAGACTCATCAACTTACTTTCCAAAGCTTGCTCTTCATTTATTTCCGTGACTGATTTCACTGGATCCATTGACCATATTCCTCCCTTTGTCTCCCCAAGGATACTTCTCAAGTCTATGTCATAAACAGTACTCCCTTCTGATGACAATAATTTATCCAAACCAAACTTCAGGATTTCATTTAGCTTTTTAAAAAAAGAGAATACAGTGACATTTAAAGGATTTCACTCTCACTTCCCCATTTCTTTTAGAAAGTTGAGCTAGATCTGTGTTTCTTAAAGTGTGATCTGAGGATCCCTGGGGATCTCCTAAGACCCCCTCAGGAGTCTGTGAAATTATTTAACAGTTTATGTTGACAAATAATATATTAATACCCTTTCAAACAATCATGAGAGGTGATAATGGAAGCAATACACCAAATTTAATTTTTAATATGGCAAATACTGATAAATACAACCTATACAAAAACTATTTTGTTGTCCCCCATAATTCCCAAAAAGTAGAAAGGGGTCCTGAAAGAAAACAGTTTAAGAAACACTGTTATGGACTAAATCAAAGCATTCCTTATATTTGTCAACGCTGCAAATATTGTATATTCTTGCTTTTGACAATATGCAGAATTGTCTGGTAAATATGGGGTTAATAAAGAGCAGAAGGGGCGTTGGGGGTAAAGCCTGGGGAAAGAAAGAGGTCACACTAATTGGATAGTGTGAGATATGACGGCTAATTTAGGGAGGGAACATGCTGATAATTTAACTGCTCAGAGGAAGAGAACTTAGATCCTAGCATCCCTCCGTTGTGCCTGTGCCGACATTTTGTAACAATAAAAGACTTTTAGGAAAATAAATGCCTGGAAGTTCTTTGGAATGTTTCATTAGCCGGAACCACAACAATATTACTGTACTGTTATCTTGTGGGACATCAAGTTTATTTAACAACAAACTAGAATATAAATATGCTGGAGAAAACAGATTTAGGAAGAAAGGACATGTCAGGATGAAGATGACTTGTCTCTATGGCAAATTAAGTAAGGATTGTGCCGAGAGGATGGAAAATTCACTTGCTTGCGATGCAGAGGAAATGATAATCAAGAATGGCAACTTTAGAGTAAGAAATGGAAGGTTACAGAGACAATTTCTTTCCAAAGAGCAAGCTTAGGATGAGATGAATAATTATTCTATATAGGCACATTTTGCACAGGAATGAGAAAAAAGAACCTTTACAGGAAATTAAGCAACTTTAAATCACTATTAGATTCAGAAATAAGAGTTTGTGGTATATACCAATGATAACCAAACGTTTTATACTTCATATACAGAATTTTGATATTTTATAGAATTAAAAAAATACAGAGACACCATTTAATCTTTAAGGTTACCTATCCGTATTTCCTCTACTGTTCTCTGAAATTTGTGAAGCTGCTTTTTGGCATCTCTTACCTGACCATCTGATATATCCTGAGTTTTGTGTGCTCCAAGTGCAAACTGCCCCCCTTCAATAACAGTATTAGTTAACTGGAGTTTTGATATTGCTCGTCGGTAGATAATTTCTTCTACAGTGTCTCTCCCAACCAAGCGGATGATTTTTACTGGTCTTTAAAAAAAGTACAATAAAATGTATATTAATATAATCATTTGTAATCGTGTCTATATGGCAGCAGGATATGGCAAATATCTGTCGGGTCTCATTGTTGCAGGATTTTTAATTTTGTTTCCACAACAATGGAGGTAACAGCGTTTCCAAAGAAGAGATGGGACTCTGGGGCCCTCCAGTTATTTTTGTACTCCAACTTCAGTTTACATTGAAGCATTTTGGACTGTAAGATGACGAATTATGTATTTATGTAAATTCTAAAATACTGTAACACAGGATTGCCAAGTTGATGTTTTCTGAGTGTTTTCGAATTTAACTTATCCCATCCAATATACCAGAGACAGGATTACAAAAGTTGTAGCTCAAATATGGCTGGTTCCTGCATTCTTTTCTTCAAGCATTAGTGCTACTGGATTTTCTTCTTATTTCTTCCACAAGTTTAAAGCCAATTGAGACCATTCATAAAAATGTTCATAAAATAGTTTTCAAAAGATTCAACGTTAATTTACAAGGGTAAAAGACTGAAAACAATAATCCTGTTGGACATATATCCTTACAAACATTTAAAACTTTGAAGCTTATCACAGCAGATAATTTTGTCTGTCATACATTTCCCCCCCATTTTCTTGGAAAGTCCATTTTTGGAGCAAATATTTTATAAAGAGAATGAGTGAAGCCTCCTAAACAGTTTGTGGCACAGGGTCATATTGCTGATAACCAGAGAGTACTGTATGGGATACTTAAATGGAAATACTAATGCTACACTGTTTCTGAAACAAGGTGCTTCAATAAATGCTACTAGAATAGATGGAGTGCTCATAACAGCTTCTGGATATCACTTTCAAGTACACTTTCTATACTTGGAACAATTTCTTTTGTTTCCATATACAATACAGGTAGTCCTCGAGTTATGATCATTCAGTGGCTGTTCCAAATAAGAATGGCACAGAGTTTACAACCAGCTGCTGTGATGCTCTCACAATCACATGAACAAAATTCAGATGCTTGGCAACCAGCTCACACTTATGACTGGTTATAGCAATGTGATCACCACTGCCAACCTTCTCGGCCATCTGCCTAAAGTAAATGGGGAAGCCAGCAGGAAAGGTCACAAGTTGCTCCTTTCTTCGTACCCACCAGTGCTCTCCTTCCCTGGGCTTCTCTGTGCTCATACCGGCAAATGCACCCTCTGTCCGCAGCCTCCCTGCGCTCGTAGACATGCAGCCCAAGCTCTTTCCTTGGCCTGTCTGAGCTTGTGCTGCAGTATAGCACCCTTCAACTCATGCCCAGCTAGTGTTGTACCCCCCTTCCAGTACACACCCATGCTCCTTACCTGGGACTACCTTCACTTCCTGCTTAACAGCGACCCACGTATCTTGGAGTTACGACAACAGAGACTACCTGGATTGCCATTGCTAAGCATGTGATGCTGCACTTTATGACTCCATCGCTTAGCAACAGCAATCCTGTAAGACTACCTGTACATTAACTGGTGCTATACTCTGAATCTAAATCATACCTTAGCTGCAAATGTGCATTTTAGCGGTCTGGGGAGGGACCCACAAAATGTAGCAGGACTGGTAAATTATGCCCTTTTTAAAAAAACAACAACACACATTTACAGGCACAAACCACACATTTTCCCTCACTTCTTCTGGCCAATTCTATGGGCTCTGGCTGCTGCTTGCACATCATTTTGTGGATTAAAATCACTGTCAACAAAAATAACTGTATCTGCTGCTGTAAGATTGATACCAACTCCACCTAGGAAAATAAAGGAGAATATTTAGAAATTACAATAAAAAGAAACTAGCCATTCTGTAGCCTTGAATCAAGTGAAAAGTATAAAGATAAATATTTCATTTGATAAGCAATAATATACAGGACTGTATTATAAATCGGTAATAATATTTTCAAATTCCATTTAATTAGACAAATAGATTATCATGTCTCAAAGGGAGGCATCCTATCCTGGATTGTATTGGGCAGATATCTAGATGAGCACATTCTATCTGGCATCTTTAGGGCAATACAGGTAGTCCCTGACTTACGGCCATAATTGAACCCAAAATTTTTGTTTTAAGCAAGACAGTGCATGTAAAGTTGTTAAATGAATTTTGCCCAATTTTATGACCTATCTTGCTTCAGTTGTTAAGTGAATTACTGCAGGTGTTAGGTTAGTAACATGGTTGTTAAGTGAATCTGGCTTCCCCATTGACTTTGCTTGTCAGAAGGTTGTAAAAGGTGATCACATAACCCCAGGACACTGCAACTGTCATAAATATGACTGGATTGCCAAGCATCTGGATTTTGATCATGTGGATGCTGCAATGATCATAAATGTGAAAAATGATCCTAAAACATTTTTTTCAGTGCTATTGTAACTTCAGTCACTAAAGAAATTGTTGTAAGTCGAGGACTACCTGTAATGGCTTTCTTTTGGCTTCAAAATATAATCTGAACTTTGAAACACTGACTTTTAAAACCCTCTATACTTCAACTCTTATATAACTTTTATATACAGTATCTCCAAAAAATATCTTCTTCAGACAGTCCTGACTCATCTGACATAGATGTCCATTAAAAATGCTAATGGCCTTATTTTTATAATTTGTTCTCTACTGCTGCATCTGCTCTGTGGAATAGCACCTTTTTGCGATATGGTTAAGCCCCCCCCCCATTCTATTAGCATTCCATAAATTGCTCATAATGGAGTTATTTAGAAAAGTATTTGGGGCGATTGCTGTTGTCTATTTTATTTATAAATTTTGAAGTTTGTTTGGGGGTATTCTATATTAATTTACACGATGATAACTGTAAGATGTAAAGTCATCCGACAACAGAAGATTTGTGCAGTATTTCATCTTTCTAGCTTTGTTTAACTATTTCAATTACAGAATTGCTTAAAATTCATATGGAAAGTATGTAATCACAAAAAATAAAGTATTATTTTAAATGTCATACATTTCTAATCCCATAATTTATTTTTTTGCTTTCTTCTTTCTTCTTCTAAATATGGAAGATCAAAGAGTTAAAATATTCAGTGTAATTTCATTTGCTTTGTAGCTTGATATAGCATTCTTATCTTCAGTTTATACTTGAGCCAACTTTCCCAAGTTCCAAGGACAGTTTATTATTTGCTTATTTTACACTGTTAATGAATTTTGCCAACAAGCTGCTTTTCATTCAGCTGAAATAAATTTTCTTCTTTTGGCATAAAAATAATTAGTTTAAACGGAAACTTCTACTGAATCTTGTTCTGCATAAGGTTTTCTGTAAATGATTTAAATTATTTGTCAACGCTACTAACATTGGATGTTCCTGCTCTGACAACTGATGAAAATGCAGCCATTTCCTATTCCTTTAACATGCTTTTAGAAATCAGATGCAGCGGGGGGGGGGGTGTGTTGGGATGTAAGCTCAGCTAGCCAAGGACGAGCTGATAATGTCTTGGCGGGCTGAGGAGCTGAGGAGAAAGCCCGCGCTTGAAGCTAATTGGGGAATGTATTTTATGACAGTTTATTGGGGGTGGGAATTGTACTTTGTTACTTTGTATCCGGGGAAGGGAATTTAGTTTTGGGTTCAACTATGTAGTGCCGATACTTTGTTTCCCAAATAAACGTTCTTTAAGAAAGAATTTTGCCTCAAAGTTCTTTTGATGGGTTTCATCTGTTGAAACCATGACATTAACCCCAAAACTACCATTTTCTACCTTAACTGACTTGGGGTCCTGAGCTCCAGTCACATCCCTAAGTTGAGGGGTAGACTGACAAAGACTCAGGGAACATCTCAACATGGAGAAGGAAGAAGTGCCTGGATCCAGCACCCCAAACATGGCTGCAGCCTCAGTGGAGGGAGAGCAAGCCAGAGCACCAGTGGAGAAGGAATCTTCTCAGGTCTTACAACTGGGGGCAAGACCCAAAATGCGGGAGCTGATCTAGTCATCTGAGTGGACCCTGCCCAGTACAGACTCCAAGCCCTTCGAGATGACCCTGCCAAAAGCAAGTTCTTCGAAAGTGACCAAAGTTAATTTGTAAGAGGGAACCTCTTGAGAATTGTGTTTCCCAGGCTGCTGGAGAACCAGGAAATCAATGGTTACTGAGGGCTCCGGAGAGTGGAAGTACTTGTCTGCAGCCCATAGCCAATCGGTGGAGAAGTTGGTGGAGAAGTTCGAGTGGGGAACAACATTCTCACTTTTCCCATGCAAGTGATCACAATGATAAGCAGAGCAGACACCAATCCGTGCCTAAAAGAAGCCCCAGCCCCGCCTATGGAGCACAAGCAGTTTCCCCATCTTCAAAACCACCACCATTAACCTCCAGCCCTGCAAGGAGGGACAGTCCCAGCCGCCACTCTGAAAATGGTGGCCTGAGATGTCATCGCTCCTCTAGAAGCCCAGATCGCCACAGGTACCGTGAAAGCCTTGATCATTGCTACCATCGGTCATATAGCCCAGAGCTTCACCATCGGCACCACCCAAGCCCGAAGCCTACGCAGAGGGAAGACTCAGATGTGAGTGTTCAACATGATTTAATGCAGCAGCTGCGGAAGCTGTTGGCCGGGCAGCAACAAGTGAAAGCGCTGCAGCTGTTGGGGCCCCTGCAATAATTAGGGATGCTGCAGACACCGCTGCTGGGAGGTCAGCTACAGGGGGGAGCGCCACAGTAGTGGGGCTGGTACCAGCTCCTGAATGTGCAACAACCGCTGGGAGGCCTGCATCAACTGGGGATGCCACAGCCACCAATGGGGAGGCCAGCTACAAGTGGAAGCGCAGCAACAGTGGGGCTGGCAGCAACCTCTGAATCTGCAGCAATTGTTGGGGGGCCTGCAGCAACTGGGGATGTTGCAACCGCCACCAAGACCGCTGGGAGGCTTGCAGTAACTGGGGATGCCACAGCCGCTGCCAGGAAGTCAGCAGCCGTTGGGAGTGCAGCAGCAGTGGGGGTGGCAACAGCCCCTGAATGTGCAGCAACCACTGGGGGGGGGCTGCAGCAACTGGGGATGCCACAGCCACCACTGGGAGGTCGGCATCCACTGGGCGTGCAACAGCCACAGCAGGGAGGCCAGCAACCGCTGGGAATGCAGCCACACTGGGAGGACTTCCGGCTTGCCACAGTCACCATGGATGTCTGGGAGATGAGCTTCATCTCCCCCATCCAGTTTCACATGCTGGGGGGCCCTGAAAAGGGTCAAAAGTCACCCTGTAGAGGTGACCAGCAAGGAGGGGCCTGGTAGAGCCGGTGAAACCCTCCAAATTGGTGGACGAAAGGCTGACCACAAAAATATGGCTCATCACTAGACTGCAGACAGCCAAAGTCACACTCACCATCTGGCAACTTCAAAGCAGCATGGAAAAGACTGGGTGAGATCTACCTCTCTTAAATCCTAATTGCTTTTTTGTACCTATTCAAGTTGCTAAAGTACTTTCCCTCCTGTGGAGAGAGAAGGGGGATTTTAGCCCTCCCTCCAGAAACAGCGGCGATTGAATATACAAGGGAATATTCAATGAAAACATTGAAAAAATAATTGGATTCCAATTGGAACTTTATTTCCTAAAGCTTGTGGATTAAAAGATTTTTCATTATCTACTTTTTACTTTCTATTTTTATTTGAAAGTCTGGGTTTTTCCTCTTAAAATAGAAGAAAAAACTTGAAAGGATTAAAATAACTTTGAGATTTAAAGGAATTCCTTAAACAGTGAGGTGACATCTTGTGGCTAAACCTGAAATTGCAATTTATTATTCTTAAAGAGGTTGACAGTTCAGAAAACAAGATCAGATTCATGTGACCTTGAACATCAGCTGTGAGAATTTTAGCTCTGTTTCTTATTTACTGGGGGAAAAAACTGTAAAAGTTTTCAATTCAACTCATCACTATGGAAGACCAGGAACAGACCTTTTCTATGGAAGAAATGCAAAAACAAATTTTTGCTATATTGAAAATAACTTACCAAACTCCCCAAACTCTTCTTACAGCTGATGATGAAATAAAAGGTTTCGGAAAAAAACCAGAAAGCATCTTAAATATGCAAACTCAAACTTTGACTATAACTAAAAACCTATCTATGCAGAATACAACAGAAAAAAACGAACAATTAAATATTATTACAGAAGACCTAGCTGCCCAACAAGTACAGACAATAGAAAATTCAGAAAAAAATCTGACAACTTGGATGGAGGAAAAAACCTGCTATATAAATCAGAAGGAATTTGAAGATCAAGAAGAGAAACAGATAGAAGAAAAGATAAACAGTTCAGGACAACTATGTCAGCAGGAGAAAATAAACAGACAATCTGGTAGTCCTGCCAGATTCCCCCCCCCCCCAGCCTTCCAAAAATGGCGACTGGATGGTCATCTCAATATGACATAATATATACAAGAATACAAGAATTCTTCGAGGAGCCTGAAGCAAGGACATGGAAGATGATTTGGCAAAGAAAAAAGGACAGAATAAGACTGAAGAATGGAGTGTGGACATATTTAGGAGGTTTAAAATAGAATATACATAAGTAGACAAGATCCGTATTTTGAATACGAGATATTGTTATGATGTGAAGATAAAGAAAAATCTTGGCTAATTAAAACCTAGATGCATAAATATCAACAATAAAATTGAAATATTGAGTTGCTTATAAAGGTTAGATAAAGGTGATTAAGACATATATATGTTAAGAGTGATGTAATGTAATTAACATGTTTTGATGTAATGATAAGAATAAAATGTGAATACTGCTAACATCGGATGTTCTTGCTTTGACAATATATGAAGATGCAGCCATTTTCTCTTTAACCTGTGTATTTCTTTAAGATTTAGAATTAAATGGTGCTGGAGGGGAGGGGGAAGAATGTGTATGGGGATTAGTTAGACATAACAATATCACAGTAGAGTATTCTTCAAGGTTGTTTGAAATAAGAGAAGATAAGAAATGGTGGGTTATGGAACTGGAGGGAAAGTTCGCAAACTAATTGGAGAATGTGATTTATGACCATTAATTGGAGGAGGGAATTATGCTACGATACTATGTGTTTAGGGGAGGAGAATTCAGATTTGGCTTCGCCTATGTACGTGCCGAAGCTATGTTGCTCAATTAAAGATTCTTTAAGGTAAACAATGCCTCAAAATTCTTTGAAGAGTTTCATCTTTTGGAACCATGACATAAAAATTATAAGCTTAAATATGAGAAAGTGGACATAAGGAAGAATGCTGAAATGGGAGAAATTTTGGTTACTCAATCTAACAGATTTGGAAATTATAATGAAATTGGAATATTATATTGTATTACTAATCTGCTGATATAGAAGTGAGATAGATATGTATCTGGAACACTAGATGTTGGGGGGAATTGGGGTCATTTAAAAAATTGGAAATGATAAATATTAAACATTTAATTTAAATATCAATGCAAAATTAAAGCTGGGAAAATTTATAAGGTTATTGATGGTCCAAAAGATGGAATGTTAAAATAAATAAGATATATAAAATTATTGATAAATTATTGATACTAATTTAAATGGGACAGTGTGCATTGGGGGGAAAGAGAGAGGAAATATTGGCTGTAATAGTTGGAGGTTTATATTAATAATATTTGTATGTAATGGAATTATTGTAACTCAAAACACCACGTTGCTTTTTAAAGATATAGTTGTAACATTGGAAAATTAATAAAAAGTTTGAAAAAAAAAAGGAATGCAGCAACACTGCGGGGGGGAAGCAACTCATGATGGCACCACCCTTAGAGCAACATTTGATGGTAACCCAGAGAAGCTGATCTTCTTCCTCAATCAAGTACATTCCTACATGAATAGCAATGCCAATTTCTACCCAAATCCAGCTGCTACGGTCGATGTGGTCGTGACCAATTTGGAGGGGGAAGCGTCTGAATGGCTAAACAATTTGTACAATGAACAAGCGCCTGAGTTAGGGAACTTCCATCTCTTCCTCCTTGGATTAAGAACCAGGTTCGAGGACCCATACATAGCCCTCAAAGTGGAGAAACAAATTTGTAAGATAAAACAAGACGGCAGACCTGCTCTGGAATACGTGCAACAGTTTTGTAAGGCAGTAGGTTGAATAGAAAGGTGGCCTGAACAGTCCCTAGTGCACCACTTCAAAGAGGGGATAGTCGACCATCTTTTCTAGGCTTGTGTCTATCGAGCTGTCCCTAACCTATGGTAGGAGTAGTACCAGGCAGCAGTAAGGTTGGACATTGAGCTGGCTCGTTATAAGAAGACACCACCTCAGGAAGCCGGGCAGAAACCAGAACATACCAGACAACAAACCCTCCCCGTAAGCCTCCAACCATTGCGGCCACGGAGCCCCCCAGACCACCTGCCGGTCCACCAATCAAATGCTTCAGATGTGGGCAACAAGGACACCGAGTGGCGAGTTGCCTGGTCCCATACCCTCAACAGCAACAGATCAGGACCACCGGCGAGGAAGAATCCAGTCCAGCAGCCAGCAAAAGAGAAGTCAAACTGGATCACGCAAGAACCCGTCGCCCAGGTTACGTCGCCCACGCAGGAGAGCGCTGACGTCCAAGCTGGACCTGCCACCACTCTGCCCTCCTAGGACAGCGATGATGAGGGGAAGACTGACCCGATGGTGAGTCGACCCGTTCCACCTTTTTCTTTCACAGCCAAACTCATAGTCCCCAACAAGGATGCACAAGTTCTTTTGATGGGTTTCATCTTTCGGAACTATGACATCATCATCATCATCATCATCATCATCATCATTATTATTATTGCTACAGCATAGCACACCAATATCTTAGAAAAAGACTTTAACCATCCTATTTGATCTTCACATACTTTTTTCTATAATTTATCTTTTTTGTTAAAATAGCTGGTTTGGGTCCCAAAAAAGGACTTAACAAACATAATTAAAACATCTCTAGGATTCCACATGAATAAATCTGATGTTTATGCTGATCTTTTTATATTACTATACAGTATCAATATTATATGATATTAATCTTTTCACAATAATTTTGGATCAGAGCAAGATAAACAGTAATTTCTGTAGTCTCTGGAACTTCTTTAACCCTTTAAATTATCTCTGCTATTATGATTTTTTATATCTGCTAACTCAATCTAAATTTCAGAAATATTCTAAAGAACATTGTTTACAGTTGTATCCAGCTTTGTTGGACAATTGAACTCTTATCTGCTATTTGACACAGCATTTTTTAAAATTGTTCATTCATTTGCTCTGGCATACACTTTTTTTGGTTGTTTTATCAAATGTATAATTAAGCCCATATCAGGCATCTGTTTCTTTCTCTATTGAGCAGTTTCTTTCTCTATTGTATCTTCATTATGGGAGATGCCCACCTATTCAATCAACTTTGTTTTTTCCAGTAAGCTTTAATCCTCTTTCCTTTCATAGAAGATTGCTTTCCAAATATCTTGCCTTAATAATTTTAATACCTAATCAAAAAGCTATCAGAACAGTATGTACATTCCATTTTTCTTAAGTTCTCAGAGCAGAAAAATTCAGGTTAAATTCTGTCATGTCCCAGTACACTGAGTTTCACAGTGTACACTGAGTTTCACATAACTTCCAAGTTTCTTTAGTTTTACTATACATATCTTGTATGGAATCTTTAATTACACTGACCACCAGATGACATGATGAGACCAGTTTTATTGGGCCTCCTAAGATATGAATAGCCAGATATTGTTACCCACATCTGAGGAGTCTCAACAAGGACAAAAGTGATCAGGTGGTGCCTCTTAGTAATCAATGTAACTAAACTGGCTTGAAATAAAAAAAAAAATATTGTGTTTTGGGGGAAGGGTAGAGAGTTCATCACATCATTTTTAACAGTGGTTAGTTCTTATATATGACAACTGCAGTGGAGCTATTATATCATCAAAAATGGAAAGGTCTGACACTACCCACAATAGAGGAATGGTTGGTAAAGGTGATGAAACTTGCAGAGATGGATAAAGACAATAACTATATTTATAGCTGACTGGAAATCGCTTGCAGACTTTTTAAATGAATAGAGGGAAATGCTCTATTCATAAGGGAAACTTATGACTTGTGGTTTCAATGATTAGAAAAGAATACTAATAGAAAAAGGTGAGCTTTTCTTTTGTAAAATTAAAAGATAATTTTGTAATCATACTTCAATTTGCTGCAAAGAAAATTGGAACCTTCTTTCTTTCTTTTAATCTTCTCTTTTTTGCACTTTTGTCTTTTTCTTTGTGACCACCATTAAAGGTTCTTTTAAATTATTTCTGGGAGAACACAATCAGCACTGGGAGCCTTATTAACCTTAAGAGATCTGATCTGTTTCAAAATAGAGAAGATATTTAAAGTGGAAATATAAGAAGAGGCCAAGTCTTTAATAGATAGACAAAAGAAGCTGGTTGAAATTTTAAAAATTAAAATAATATGTTTAAAAAATGTTTAGACATATTTCTGATTAGATGGGTAGCTACATAAATTTGATAAATAAATAAATAAACAAACATTAAAGGGAAATATAAATGATAAACCAAGAGAATGAAATAGATATCTTTTTACTGGATATGCAAAAAGGCTTGCTAAGACCTTGAAAAAGATCTAAATGATGGGACAAAGAATAATTAAAGAGAGAATGAAATAAAGATTAAGATTTTTTGGAACTAAAAGAAGGGGATATAAAGTTGATTTATTTGATCAAGATTAAAATAAGACTTTTTTAATGAAATTCTGGCAATCCTTTAAGACTATTTACTGACACCAAGCCTGAAAAACTGAAGTTTTATGGATTTGTTTATAAACAAGAGATGGGTTATGGGAAGAAGAAATATTGCTTGTAAGCTTATGGGGAATAAAGAGCTACCAAACATGTTTATATTTGTAATGAAGATTGAAAGCCCCTCCTTTTTTCTTTCTTTCTTCTTTTCTAACTGTTTCTTTCTTTGTATTTTTACTCATGTCAAAATGCTACTAGTAGCCCATTATTAGCTTTCAAATGAACAGAATATCTAGCATAGTACATAGAAAAGCCTTGGTTGCTCACCTGCTTTGGTACTCAGAAGGAAAACAAAAATAGGCTGCTGACCAAAGTTGTTAATGGCAAGGTGTCTCTCTTCACCTCGGACAGATCCATCCAGGCGCTCATAGCTGTAACCTTTTTAGTTTTTTAAAGAAACATTAAATATTCATGAAAGATACATTATTCCTATGTTTAAAAAAAGTATATAGTGACCATTAAGAAAACATGTGGTTAGACAAGGAAAAGGGAAAGCATAAGAGAATTGTCCTATCTTGATTCTCTTTTGTATAAGAGGAAGGGAAAGAGAAACAGCTTTCAATATCCTGTTATTTATAGCTTACATCAACAAAATTCTAATATTTCTTGTAGTATCTGCTTTACAGTTTGAAATCAAGGAATCTGGCAGCACCTTTTCTGACTATCAAACTGGATTAAAGGGCATAAAGCATTAGTGAGCTGCAATTCATTTCATCAGATGCATAGAGTGCTTTTCCACTGAGAAGTTTGTTGCTGAATTCATATACATCAAAAGACACATCAAACAAAATCAAAATAAGGTCTCAATAATGCATTTTTAACACATTACAATAAGGTAATTTTAATATATCTCATATTTAACCTAATCTGCACAATCCCTGTCCTATCCCAATTTAAAGTCTATATCAGTATATATATTCTATGCATCTGATGAACTTAATGCTTTTAATAACATTTGTTACTTGGTATACAAGATTTCTCCAGATTTTTATCACTGTACACTAAAATAGCTATTCCTTTTAAAATGGCTTGACTTGGAAAATCTGGTGGACTACAGGTCTTATCAAAAAATTCTCCGTTTTTTATATTAAAATTTTTGCCAAAATTTTTTTTCTTCCAAAATTATTTTCTTTTACTTGAACTGTGACATAATACTGCCTACCTCAGTTCTGTTCAAAATTTGACATCATTGGTTAAAAGGCTGTTGATTTTGCACCTAGGCCACAAGATACTTGTCAGGTCCCTACAGATCTCTGTTGAGATGCTGCCATTATGAGGGGAGGGGGATCCTTTGGAGCTCTCCTCTACTGTGCTTAGCTTTGCTTTGTTTACTCAGCTCCTCTTCCCTTTGATGTATCTTTCTGGGGAATGTAAGGGGGGAGAGAGTATTGCCCGAGGCCATCTGCTCCACTTCACCACAGACACCACAGAAGAGACCCCTGGGAAACATCTTATCACTGTCTCTGTCCAGAGTTCTTACAACATTTTAACGCCTCTGGATTGGCTCCTATGCACTGAGCAATTGGTAAGGGTTTTAACCTTTGGTGTTTAATCTAGAAATTTCATACAGGCTTTTCAGATCCTGCCTGCTTTCATTAACGCTCAATAAAAGTTCCTGTTAAAATGAGGCCAGTTTCAAAAGTTCTGCTTTCTTGAGAGATTCAGCTGAGGCAGGGCCTTACAATACTATTACAATAGAAACCATGTTTATTTTTTGCTTTCAAAGCCTATCTTGAGCACTTTCTCAAATGATTAATCATAACCCTCAAGTTTTATTGCAAATTGGCCAAACAGTTGGGCCTTCTTCTAATTTGTCCTCATTCCACAGTAGCAATGCTGGAAACCTTCCCCCATTGCATTCCCTCCTCAAGCTATGCTGGACAGCTACATAGGTTCAGATTTTTACTTTCATACCAGCATTATAAAGTTAATCTTTGTTTCCCAAAGGATGCAATCTTTATAAGGCTGTCTCAAAGGTGCTTTGTAAAAATGCAACTGGACTGATCTTTCCTTTGAGGAAGCAGAAGAAGATATTTTGCTTCTCATTCAAGAAGCTTCATCGGTTCTGGCTGGATGGTGGGGGGAGATCCTTCCATCATTCCCACCATCCTGCCAGAACCAATGAAGCTTCTTGGATGAGAAGCAAAACGTCTTCTTCCTCAAGGGAAAAAACAGTCCAGCTGCATTTTAAAAAAGCACCTTTGAAATACAGCTGGATGACTGAGAATCTCTAATAGACTTTAGAAGGGCTATCATCTGACAACCACAAAGAAGTATTAACCATGTATCTAAATTAAAAGAGATCTATAAATGGAGTTATTAAGTAGACATGTGAACTCACGCAGCCTATCTACTTGATCTCAGATAATTTCTCTGTCACTCAAACCCATTGTGATACTCTTAGACACTGAAGGGTTCAGCAACAGCCATCTCTAGTCATATGCTATATGTGGGATCAAGGTTCCCACCAAATGATACTCTAAGTTTTAGAAAATTCCAAATGGATGCATAATTCATAATTCAACAATGAACACGCAAAGAACCCAAAGTCATACGTAAGAAATCAGTTTTTTTGTTTTTAGAATTTTCCTATACAAAGCATTGTTTTATTTTGAAGAATAGGAACTCTGAAACAAAATCCAGCTTTATCAAAAACATTTACCTCTATAATCCATGTAGTCTTGAAGAATATCTAACATTTGGGTCATTTGTGAAAACAACAGAACACGATGCTTACTGCAATTTTAAAAAAAAGAATGTTTTGATCTTGGCTCCAGTTTCCCACAAAACACATTCAAAATAGATAATACCTCCATAGATATCACCCTCTGAATTCAATAGATATAGGACATGAGACACTATTATCCTCATGCTAAAGATAGATAGATGCTCAGGTTGAATCATTTGAGGGAAGGGAAGACAGCGCACCTTATTACTGGCACTTGGGTCAAGATATTTCTTGGGGAGGAGAGGTGCCTAAGCCATAAACCTGTTTTCACAGTTTTACTAACTCTGCAATGGAAAAAGAGTTGATCCTTTATCTGTTTCTCTGCTTTACTGGCACCAATATCACTACTGAGACTGGTCCAAATTCTTTCCTTGTCACTGGATGGCAAGTTTAAGCCATTGAGACTGAGTTAGAGGGAGGGTAAGACCTGTAAAAATTATTGCAATACCCTTTTCCCTCTTCTCAGCTTGGCAGCTGATGCAAAACCAAAAACTTAATAGGAGAAGAAGATCTTCATGCTGAATCAGGGCTGAATACTCTATAATAAGTCCTTTTGTTCATCTCTCAGCAAGTCATGGATGAACACAGCCTCATTACAGAGAGATGCAGCAGCAGCAGCAGCCAGAGATCAGGTAATTTTTTAAAAAGTTTTTTATTTATAATACAGTTAAAAACAAAGATGGACATAACGTGACATTCCAAAATAAATATTCCTAACAATTTGTTCCTCTTGATACATATAGTTAATACATAATTCTTGATCTCTATATAAACATATTCTTCTATACAATACAGTTATATATACAGTTATATATAATTCTATCTTAACACTAATTTAAAACCCGAGCAGTTCTCCTTGATTCACACCAGTGATAAAATTTGTCCCAGATCTCGAAATAATCTGATTCTGTCTTATCCTTCATTTCCATTGTGAGCTTATCCATTTCAGCACACAATAAAATTTTATATATAATCTCTTCTTCTGTTGGAATTCCTTTATTCCTCCGGTTTTGAGCATACACCAATCTAGCAGCCGTGAGAATGTGTAACATCAAGTAAAACACTCCTTTGTTGTATTTCTGCATGGTTATGCCTAGTAAAAAGAGTTCTGGTTTTAACTCTACCACTAACTTCAATATTTCTTCCAGACATTTTTTAATCTTATTCCAAAAGTCACGGGCTCGTGGGCACTCCCACCACATATGATAGTATGTCCCTTTTGCCAATTTACATTTCCAACATTTGGAGGAAACATTTGGACCCATTTTGGCTAATTTTACAGGTGGGAGATTTATTTATTTATTTATTTGTGAGACTTATATACCGCTTTAAGTGCAAGCACTCTCTAAGCGGTGTACACCAGTAAGCAATGTATATATATATTTACATTGCCCCCAACAATCTGGGTCCTCATTTTACCTACCCCGGAAGGATGGAAGGCTGAGTCAACCTTGAGCCGGTGAGATTTGAACCGCTGACCTGCTGAACACAATCAGCTAAAGTGGCCTGCAGTACTGCACTCTAACTGCTGCGCCACTTGTAGAACATTTTGTAGAGATTTTCTTTGTAAGAGGTGGCCAGAGTAAGCTTCCTGTTTCTTATAATTCCTGCCAGATGTGCAGATCAACATTGAGATCAAAATCCCTGCTCCACGTTAACATGGTCTCTTTTACCTGTTCCTCATATGTTGCCTGATCTAACAAATAGTGATATAGTTTTTTAATCATTTTATCCTCCGTGCCTAATAATATTTTGTCCAGCCCAATCAGTTCTAATATAACTCTTTTTTATCTTTCCAATATCTCGCCTGTAATTGGAGGTATGCCCACCATTCTAATTCTATCCCTTCATCTTGAAGAATTTTCTGGGTTTCAATTCCCCTCTCTCGTCTAGGATATTGTTATATGTTATAATCTTTCCCAGTTGGATAAACTTTGGGTTACATGCATTTCTAACGATGAGATCCAACTGGGAACTTGGATATAATTTGGTTGCCAGATTTTAACCCATACATCAATTAAAGCTTGTCTGATATAGTGCCTTCAGAAATATTTATGTGTCTTATATTTATGATCCCACAACATAGCGTTCCAAGCTATTTGTAGGTCATGATCTTCCAAACATAATAGTCTTCTATTCTTTAATAATATCCACTCCCTTACCCATAATAATACTATGGCCTGATAATATTTTTCCAGGACAGGGAGGCCAAGTCCCCTCCTTTCCTTTGAATCCTGCGGTAATTTTAATTTGATCCTTGCTCTTTTTCCTCGCCAGATGAATTTGAGTATAATTTTGTTAAAGTTTTGAAAAAATGTCTTATCCAGTTTTATGGGTATACATTGGAACAAGAATAAAATTTTCGGGAGCACATTCATTTTGATTACAGCGATTCTGTCCATGAAGGAGAGCTGTAAGTTGGTCCAAATATCTAAATCCTTTTTAATCTGTTCAATTAACTTATCATAGTTGTCTCTTTGAGTGTAACGCATCTAGCAGTTAATTGTATCCCCAGATATCTTATTTTGTTCGTGATTTGAATACCTATTCTGTCAACCAGTTCATTTTTCTGTATTTTGGTCATATTTTTGACGAGCATTTTAGTTTTTTCTTTATTTATCTTCAGACCTGCTATGTCCCCGTATTTACTCAGTGTTTCCATCAATCTTGTCCCTGATTGTAGTGGTTCTTCAATTATAAAAACTAAATCGTCTGCAAAAGCTTGTGTTTTAAACGTTTCTCTCTTGATCTCTAAACCTTTAATCTGTTCATCTTGCCGAATTACTCTAATTAATACCTCAAGAGATAATATGAACAATATGATAACGGACAACCTTGCCTTGTGTCTTTTTGAATTTGGAAGCTGTCGGTCATTTCTCCATTAATTGCTACTTTTGCTGCCTATTTAGAATAAACTGATTTGAACATATTTAAAAAATTTTCCCCCAAACCCATATACAATAATTGATTGAACATAAAATCCCATTTCACATTGTCAAATGCTTTTCGTGAATCGAGGAAAATTAAACCCATTTGCTTTTCATTGTGCACTTCATAATACTCCAATATGTCCAAAACAATCCTGACATTATTTCTTATGTATCTTTTGGATAGAAAGCCATTTTGATCAGAATGAATAAAATCTGCTAGGAATCTTTCAAGCCTTTGCGCCATTATAGCCATGAAGATCTTATAATCCAAATTTAATAGAGAAATACGTCTATAGTTCTTGATATGCGCCAAGTCTGAATTTTCCTTAGGAATCAAAGTGAGAAGGGCTTCTTCCCATGAGGCTGGTATTTTCGCTTTAGTTAGGATCTCATTGAATAGATCCAACAACATTGAGCTTAAAGATTCTTGTGCAATTTTATACATTTCTACAGGTATACCATCTGGCCCAGGTGCTTTATTATTTTTTTGTTTCTTAATTGCCTCCAAGAGTTCTGAAGGTGTTTCTAATTTCTTTCCCTCATTCTGGTACATCATATCCCCTTCTGCATTATAAAGTTTAGTAATCCTCTGCTTATTATGTTTTTTAATTTTATAAGCCAGCCATCTCCCTGGTTTATTGGCATTTTTGAAGAAATTTTGTTTAGTATGTTTTATCTGCTGTCCTAATTCTTCCTTCCCAATAATATTCATCTTATGCTTAATTAAATCTATCTGTTGCTTCAAGTCGCGTCTTTGTGGATCCTTTTGTAAGTTTTCCTCAACTCTACCTAATTCTTCTTCTAAATGTCTTTGCCGTTGTGTTTTGATTTTATGTTCCCTAGCCATGTAAGAAATTGCAATGCCTCTCATAAAGGCTTTGGCTGTATCCCGTAAGTTTTGGCAATTCGTATCTTCCTTTTTATTTGTCTTAAAAAACAGATCCATTTGTTCTTCCAATTTCAACTTAAATTCTTTATGTTTTAGGATTGCCCTTTTCAGGATCCATCTCCTCATATTTTTTTGCCCTTTCCATCTAATTCTAATCGGATTATGGTCAGCCCATGAGTTTGTAGCAATTACAATCTCCTCTACCTCTGAATTTAAGTCTGCTGACATCCACACCATATCGATTCTGGACCATGACTGATGACATCCAGAGTAGAATGTAAACTGTTTTTCCCTAAATTCCTCTCTATCCAAGAATCCTGAATATTGAGCTCATCTACCATTTTTAGGAATGTATCAGGTATTGTTCCTCTAGTTCTTTTTCTACTCTTTCCACATTTATAATCTAGATTTCTATCCACAATTGCATTATAATCTCCCATTATACAAATGTTATCATATTCCAATTGATTAATAATGTTGTGGAATTTTTTATAGAATTGTTTTTGCCCCTCATTTGGGGCATAAATTCCCACCAGGAGAATTTTAATTTTATTCAAAATTGCTTCCACCATTAAAATTCTACCCTCTTTGTCGTTATAAATTTGCTTTGCCGAAATTTCCTGTTTAATATATGCTATCACTCCTCTTTTCTTGTATTGCGAAAGAGCTGCAAACATGTTTCCCAATTTAGGGCAATTTAATAAATATTGATGTTTTTATATGAACTTCTTGTAGGATAATTATATCTAAGTTCATCTTGTTAAGCTTATTTAAGAACTTTTTCCTTTTTGTTGGAGAGTTGAGGCCATTAATACTGATGGATATGGATTCAACACCTTTTTTCTCCTCTTTATCTATATTTAGATCTGGTTACTATTGCCGGTCTAGACTCTTGAATTTGTAAATCCCTTCCTCTTTCCACTAACTGTCTTGTTGGTCTAGCCTCTAATTTCTTTAAGTCTATTCTCATAGTTCCCTTCATTTTTCCCATTATCAATATCCTCTCTGAACTCGACTAGTTTATCTTTAGATTCGGTGGCTTGAGCTAAAGTCTCTCCTTCCTCTCTTACCTCTCTTTCAACTAGATCTTCCTCACTACCAAAATTTTCCCTATAGAATTCCTCTGCTTTATCTATTGAGTCTAAGCGGAACTTTTTCTCTTGCCATTTAACCAGAATCCCTTCCGGGGTCAACCATCTAAAGTTAATATTTTTCTTCGTCAGTTTGAAAGTTATTTGTTGGTAGGGCCTTCTCAAGGGACTTTGGAGATCTTGTAGTCCAATGCCCTGTTCAAGCAGGAGATCCTATACCATTCTGGAGAAATAGTTGTCCAATCTCTTTTTAAAAACCTTCAGTGATGGAGCACCCACAATATCTGGAGGAAAGCTGCTCCACAGTTAATTGTTCTCACTGACAGGAAATTTCTCCTTAATTCTAGATTGGATCTCTCTTTGATAAACTTCTGTTATTTCTTGTCTGGCCTTCAGGTGCTTTGGAGAATAGGTTGACCCCCTCCTCTCTGTGACAGCCCCTCAAACACTGAAAGACTACTATCATGTACCCCCTTTACCCTTCTCTTCATTAGACTAGACATTCCCAGTTCCACTAATCATTAATTGTATGGTTTAGCAATCCTGCCTTTTGGTTTTAGGATTGAAGGTGTGGGGCCAGAAGGGCCAATACTAAATTGTCCATTTTTCTTCCTTTGCAGCAGTCTGACCAACCCTTCCTTCCACATTTTCTCCTTGTTGTTGCTACCATGATCTGTTTATCTCTATTTCTTCCTTCGCTGCAGAGGCAACTTCTAGTGCTTGCAATTATAGTCTGCTGAGACTGCTGCAAGGCTGTAATTGAGCCACACTGTTGTCCTCCCTTTCAAGACCCATTTTGCATTCACAGCCTGGTGCACAAGCAATCTGGTCAAGCTATTCAAGCTGGCTTGAAGCTATCTAGTGTAGCTTCTATTCTTATTACATGTCTCATATTACATGTCTCATACTCATTTTTAAATATTTCCTTGTTCTTTAATGTTTTGATTTTTATAAGTTTTAGGGACACAGTTTAATATAGTGGTTAAAGTACTGGACCAGAAATATGACATGACACAAAACAATACAATGCCTTTCCCACCTAGCCCCCATCCCCATCCCCAGTATGGCCTGACACGTAATGGAAGAGTCAGCCCAGCCCACCCATTTTCAACACTTCAGAAGAGGACACACAATACCATTCCTTGTTTGAATGAGTTGAAAGTGCTAGAAAATATTACTGGAATATCTTTGTCATTGGCAAAATTGAGCAAAAACCAAAAGAATTCCAAAGTCTTGATTCCATGCACATGAATTAATCATGCATATACATTTTAATTAAGGTAAAGAAAACACTTCCAATTTATGTTTTCTTCAAATAATGCCTTTGAAAGTCTCTTTTTCTAAAATTGTTCTTGTGCTAAATCATTCCCTTATATTAACCAGTGTTTTTTTCCTCAAATGCTATTGTTCAAGTTAAAAAAGTCCCAGTTCATAGAAACTATAAAACACACCTATCATACAGGAAAGAAAGAAGTTTATCCAACAAGTTCAGTTTACCACTGGCTTCAATGAGATGATCTCCAATGACAAAGGGCTCTGGTTCAACACCTAGAAAGAAAATTCATTATTATGAAACACCTCTATTAAAGAGTGTGTCTAAATATGCATTGTAATAGACAATACTTAGCAGTGGTTCCAAACAAACAAAAGGGACCTGGGCACATTATCTTCTTTCACATATTAGAATAGGCTTGCATATGGGGACGTGGATGTGAGACTTTACCAGAGAGACATGAAAATACACTTGTTCTAGAGCTAACTTGAGGGCAGACTTTGAATTGACCATAGCATTGTAAGTACGGCTTTTACTCAAATGTTATTCCAAAAAATAAGAAAGAAAGTAATAAAACATAAAATTTCTATAAAATACACAAACTCAAGATAAACTTAGAAATAATACTGCATCCACTGTGGCACTCATTTCTCTCAGGTTTAGATATCCTAAGCCATTTGCTAAAACATTAGGAAGTAATATGCCGAAACATCTCCCTGAGAAAGAAAATCTAGAGAAAGAGAAGAGAGCACAATCAAAGTCATTCAAGGCCATGTTATGTATAGTTTATTCCCATGAGGGGAAAAAAAACAGAATAACAACAATATGAGGCCACCAAAAAGAACAAGAGAGGAAATATTTCAAACAATCTGAGCTGATGTAAAACCAAAATGCCATTATTTTGCAGCAAGTTAAGAAGCAAATTAATCACCACTGCTTATTCTTAAAATTTAATGCTATATATTTGTCTGGACCTTTAAAGATGCATTCAGGATATTTACTTAAATGCTACCTTAATTAGAAAAACAGATTTCCAAGACATACTTATATTAAGCTCAATGCAGTGAATGCTACCTGTATATCCCACAAGAAATCCTTTTTAAATCTGCAGAAGAAAATACATATTGCACTGAACTCTTTCATCATCTGGAAAAAACATCTGGTCCTAAACAATTGAAAATATTCTCTAGAACTGCTCAAAATGATCTTAATAGATTCTGTACCATTCTGGCTACTACTAACAAGAAAAGAGGGGGAAAAATAATTGCACCCCCTCTAATCATAAAGGAAAGCTTCTCTTTCACAATATATATATATATATGTGTGTGTATGTGTTTATATATACGTGTGTGTGTGTGTGTGTATTTCATATATATGAAATTAATACTGTATATAGTAGTGATGGCAAGATTACTGTACTCACAAATATGGAAAAATAATAAAATGCCCACAGTAGACTGGATTATAAAATTGATGGAGCTTGTAGAAATGGCAAAGCTGACCAGTTTGGTCAGTGAAAAAGCCTGGAAGTCTCATACAGACTTTATGTTGAAAGAAAAAAGACTGAATTTATGATTTATGAATCTGGGGATTAAAAAGGGTCAAAGAGGATGGGAAAGAATAAGATGGCAATTACTCAAAGAAAGAATGGAAGAAGTTTTAAGTCTGTTTTCTTTTTTCCTTTTCCTTTTTTTCTATATTTTCCCTTCTTTCAATTTTGTATACTTTTATTGTACAGAAAAATTCTAGTTAAAAAAAAGAAAGGGCTAAACTTTTGCATCTGTTAGAACTATTCATCTTTGATGAGTTCAGTTGCAAAACACAATTTGCTAATTACATTTAGTAATCATAAATAAAAAAGCAAGTATGTGTGTCCTAAAAAAACAATACAATCTTAAAATCTTAATCTTAAAAATCTTAGTGGAACTGTTAGATCAATCTTCTGGTGACCAGAATGGCATCTCATGGAAAGTGCTATTCTTTCACAGAAAAGGGGCAATAGAAAAACAATGTATCCAAGCTAATATCCTGGGTGGGCCACTATAATATTTTCTGAAGGACTCTGTATCTAAAGCAGCGGTTCTCAACCTGTGGGTTGGGACCCCATTTGGGGTCGAACGACCATTTCACGGGGGTCGCCAAACAACGCAGTCCGCCATTTTTTCCCCTTTTCCTTAGCTGTGCCACTCCCTTTTATTCTATTGGCTTTTGAAAGCCAATAGAACAGACTCTCTTGAATAGAGTCTAATTCTATTGGCTTTCAAAAGCCAACAGAAATTGTCCAGGCTGTCTCTGCCCTGCTGAGCCCGCCAAAAGTCCCATTCTGCAAACGGTGCTGTAAGTTGTTTGCAGTGAAGGTGAGCTGCCTGGAAGTTTCCACCCCTCCCTGCTGAGCAACTACTAAAAATGTAAGTAAAAGAGGGCCAGGGGTGGGAAGTGGGAGGCCAGCAGGCGCAGGGAGGGTTGCTGGTGCGCGTGGGGCCCGGCGGATGCCTTACCTCCTTTGGGCTGGGCCAGCTGGTGGCCCAGCCGGTGGTCGGCCTGCTCCTCTCTGCCGCTTGCCAGCTACACCTCGGCCAGCGCAGGGGGCGGCACCATGCATACGCGGCGCTCCCGGGCAGGGAAAGTCATCGACTTACGACCGGTTGGATAGTCCTCGACTTACAACCGGTTTAGTCCTCGACTTATGACCGGTTGTTTAGTCCTTGACTTACGACCGGTTGGGAGTCACGGCATTAAAAAGGTTGAGAACCACTGATCTAAAGGCAAATAATTTACCTGTTCTATGATCCCCCACAATGAGATTGAAAAGGGTGCCTTCTAAAGGCGGACCTACTGGAGAGGGTAGTTTAGTACCCAAGTCCCAAGCCCTTATGCCAACAGTCAACTACCATAATAAGTTAGATATGCAGAGAACCCAAAGGGTTTCCTTATTCCAAATGAGCTCCTTGAGATGGCTAGGATTTGAACATAAATTAGGTAATACTGTCTTTGCTCCCCTTCCTTCTAACAGGGGAGGGCTCTAAAGTTGGACTTACGTGCTTGTTTCAAAGTACAGAACCAGGGTAACTGATTAGCTTGGGCATGTGAATGTCTCCACTATCCTCCCCAGTAGACCCACTTTCAAAAGGCACCCAGTTCAAACTGAAGACTGCCCAAATTTTTTTTTTTTATTGAAAATTTTTATAAGTTTTTACAAAAAAACCAGAAAAAAATATAACAATACAAAAACAGAAAACAACATATACAAAAAACTAAACATAACATCCCCTTCCCCATCCCCCCCCCAAAACGCCCCCCCTTCCCCCCCGAGCTTCCCAGAGCAGAATATAGGCTTAATTAAAAAAGAATTTAAAAAAAAATTATATATAAAAAAGAAGAAAAAAATAAAACTGAAATATATATATATGTATATAGAAATAAGAATTATGAAAAAGCAATGTGATATTTTTTTATATCCAATTTAAATTGTATAAATTCTATCCATTTATCCCAAACAGCAAGAAATTTCTCTTGCGTTTGTTCCTTTAAGAAAGCCGAAATCTTTGCCATTTCCGCCAAATAAGACACTTTAAAAAACCATTCCCGCAGTGTAGGCAAGGATTCCTTCTTCCAATATTGTCCTACTAACAGCCTTGCGGCTGTAATCAAATTTAACATCAATATAACCTCCTTTGTATCACAATCAGTAACTATACCCAACAAAAATAACTGCGGAGTAAATTTTACCCTCCTTCTAAAAATTCGACTGCCCAAAATATTATCAACAATAAACTGTACTCTTTTGGCAAACTTGCTAAATGGTTCTGTAAATGTTTAGGATATGACAAACCTTTAAACAATGTACATGCCCAAATCATAGTGCCAAAGGCAAGCACTGAGACTCAATTGCCCAAGGCTGCTATCTCAGAAAACCAACTGTCCTATGTGCAGTTGGATCTTACCTCTTTCTCTCTTGACCACCATCTTGGTAACGAGAGATATAACAGGTTCATTGTCTGGGAGTCAGTTTGATGTGGCAGTTAAGATGCAGGACTAGAAACCCGGAAATTGTGAACTCTAGACCTTTTTTTAGGTGTGAAAGCCAAATGGGTAACTTTCAATGTGTTGCTCTTTACTTTCAGCCCAACTTCCCTCATTGGATATTTGTGTGAAATCTAAAAGCAAACGGGCATCCCAAGCTATTCTGTAGATGTCTGGGGAAGAGATTCAATGTCACAGACACTGACAAAGAAGGAAGGGTCTTATAGTTAGATCAGCCCATTCCTTCTTAGTAACGTCTGTGAATACAAGTGGAAATGGAATCTTCAGATTAGTCCTAAATACAGGGCTTTTTTTGTCATAGAACACCCAGAATGGAGTTCTGGCACCTTTTTTGGATGGAACTTTGTAGGGTAGGCAAGGCAAGTTGTATGACGTGTGTGAGTTCCGGCACTTTTTTTTTTTTTTTTTTTACAAAAAACGCACTGCCTAAATGTACAAATGAAACCTACTGTCAACACCATGATCCTTGAATTTCACTATCATAGGAACAGATGCAATTGACATCCTACTTGATCCAAATGGAACTAAGTGGAAAAACCCCTTAGTGTAGTGGTTAAGGCATCAGGCTAGAAACTGGGGCACCATGAGTTCTAGCATGAAGCCAGCTGGGTGATCTTGGGCCAGTCATTCCCTCCCAGCCCTAGGAAGGAGACAATGGCAAACTGTTTCTGAAAAACCTTGCCAAGAAAACTGCAGGGACTAGTCCAGGCAGTTACTAGGATCAACAGTGACTTGAAGGCATCCCTCATATAACTCAGCCTATGAATAATAATTAAAAAGATAGACAAGCAAAACAACCATTAAGACCTAAGTCAGTGCCCCTCTTCCTTCTTCTATTTGACTGAGATATAGATCTACTTAGCCTACTAACAGAATTGTTATGCCTACCTCACTTAAATAGTAGCTTCAGCAATACTCATGTTCATAATTCTTACCAGTGAATAAATATGGGTGAGCTACACATTTCCGCAGTTGAATCAACATATTTTGCAGGTTAGCTTTCTTTCCCGACTCATTTTCAAATGCATCTGAAAAAAATATTAGAGACATTTACTGCTTTTGTTGATACATTTAAATATCAAGATTTAATCACACAAAAGAGCAGGTAAAAAACATTTTAATTAAAAGTCAACATTATAGTATCTTCAATTCAATATCTATGCTTTGATGGAAACAGCAAAAGAGAAAGCTATTGCTAACAATTGTTAAAGGTCTTCGAAGTTTTAAAATGTATTCTTTCTTATGACCAATTACATTAAATGGCAGACAGAGTCCTGTGATACCAAAATCCTGAAGTTAAAAGTTCTAACAATTTAATTTCTAATCTCATGCCAATGCTTTGGTCATCTACTGCAGTGATGAGCAATCTTTGACTTAGGCACCATCAAAATGATCTAAATGATCTAAATATAAAAAATAACTAATGTATATACAAGATGTTCATAAAGAACTATGTTAATTGATAAAGGTTTCTAGTGGCTTTCAGCAAATAAAACTCTTGATCTCCCTAGGAAATGCACCTTCTTGTGCAATATTTCTGGCCTAACTTTCCTTGCAATTTCAAGGAAAGTGCAAATAAACAAAAAATAACGCTGACAGTGTTAGAATTCTGGGATTCATTTAACTATCATCCAAATCATATAGCCCATATTAGCATGCATTGGTTTTTCAGTAGTTTCTCTTCACAAACTAGCAGAACCAAAATCCTGTACACAGGTGACCAGGAGATGTGTACTCCTGACAAATAATTTGACATTTTGTGACAATTATACTGAATATAACTTGCCTGCCACACTCAAAGCTTACAGTTCTAATGAGGAAGCAAACAGAAGTTGTAACACTTGACTACAGAGAAATGAGTAATTAAGACTGGAGTTCTTATTTGCATTTTCAGGAATGTTAAATAGCATTAGCTATTTATGCCTGAATGGTCCAATGCATGGATAAGACAGTGTTGATAAAAAAAGACACCAACTGTCAAAGATGCCATTTAGAGAACAGTTGAGCCTGCATGGAATGAATTAATATTATCTGAAAAGCAATGGATAAAATATTGATAGGCTATAAAACCATTTTTAACAATAAATTTCTGGGGCAAAGTTAAAAGAGAGGAATTGTCATAAAGCAGAGGACTGGGAATTGCTTCATAGCCTTGTTATAGAAAATGAAACAGCTGTTCTATAAGGCTGAATCTGGATTAATTCATTGACTGTATACATGTACCTAAACACAATGACTATATTTTACATACTAATATTAGAAACTGCTCAAGTCAAAATGAAATGCAAATCACATTAATTCTAAACTGAGAAAACATATCTAGTTGAAAAATTCAAAATCTCATGAACAGAAAAAACGGGATACAACTGTTACTAGGTAAAACTCTCTGGAAGGGGGAAAGAAGAAAAACTACATATGGAATACTGTTTTTTATATCAATGATGAGAAGTTCAAGTATTAATCTAATCAACTAGTAAAATCCTCAGAATTGCTAGGGATCTAAACATAAGAAATGTAAGAAAAATCAAATAGTGTTTGAGGTTTATTTTTTTCTTCCTAGCATACCAAGTATAGCCTTAATATGGAGGAAAATCACAAATGTGACCCACTAAGGCAAAAATGCAGAAAAAAAATTGAATAGTATATACATTGAAATCAATGGGATTTGTTAACTAAATTTTCATTATTGAGTGGTTCTATTTTAAAATATAATTCAGCCTTAAAGCTTCCTGTCTCAATTTACCAAACAAATTATTATCAGTCTTGATGGCCAGTGCCAAAATTTATTCCTTTTCTTTTTACCTAGATCTTTCATAAGAAGAGCCTTATAAATTTTTTTCTGCAGTGCTGACATTCCATGGTAGAGAACCACTTCTACCTTCTTTGGAATTTCTTCTGAAACTTCAGCCTTCACTCTCCTGAGTAACAGAGGCTGCAACAGACTGTGAAGTTCCTTGACTTAAAGAGAGACAGAAAAATCCCGTTAAATGCAGGCAGAGAAATCCAGTTAAATACAGACAGGATGAAAAATGTGGACAAGTTATGGTTGTTAAAACTGAAGGAAATCTATCAGGGATCTAGGGAAGCTTTGCACGCGAGTACAAGATGGCCTCTGCTTTTGCACAAGGGCAAGCGGCTGCTGCTTGTACAAGGGCAACTTCGCACATACTCATGCACTCACCCGCTGCCTGCATGGCCCAGTTCCAAACAGGCCATGGCCCAGTATTGGGCTGCAGTCTGGGGGTTGGGGACCCCTGATCTAGATAACCTTATCAGCAAGATATCCATTCTACAGGCATCATCATTTTTCACTTTCATATCTACTGTATAATATTTAGTAAGATATCACATTGTCAGCTGCTCAGGGTCCCTTGATCCATGAGATGGATGGCAAATACATTTAATAATAAATAAATAGTACATAAGAAAGTAGTACCCCCTTTTTTCTTTTCTGCATATCATAATAAATGGTTTGTTTCTATCTAGATTTTTTCCAAGTAGAAAAATGTGATTAGCTTAATTTATAATCACTTCACCATTTTGATGGTTAAAGCTTTGGCTGTATGTTTGTAGGACAACTTGTAAATCTTCCCACAGCTTCAAGTAACAGACACTAACTAAAAGCAAATCTATGTGGCATACATATCTTAATGAATTCTAGTAGAGACAGTTAAGAAACATAGTGAGAAACACTTTCTCAACTTGAAGTAGAAGGTGAAAAAGGTCTGGCCATTTCAAATAAGCCATCAATCATCCACAATCAGTTTATTCAATTGACAAAACAGAAGCGAGAGAGATGTACAGTAAATGAAATAGATGTACAGTATTGTAAGACTGTCATATCACATAATTAGATTAACAAATCAGGGCACCAGTATTATAATGTGTTCTATGTATTTATTCTTCGTATTTTCTACACTTTAATGCCAGTATCATTAGGCTAAGGCAGGTGTGTCAAACTGCCGGCACACGGGCCGAATGCATCATCGAGAAATCACGCCCATCCCATTGCCAGCAATGGCAAAAAAAGCTCCAATACATTGTGCGATGTCATGGGATGTCGTGAGTTTGACATGTCTGGGCTAAGGCAAGTTTTAGCTAGTTTCAGTACATTTCCTGAGTAATGTTATGTGTGATTACATGAGTATTACAGATAATTGACTATTTTAGATTTTAGCTTATTTATTTAATGGCTACTGATCTTAACAAATGAGATTGTGTGATTTGATACTTTAAAAAGAGCTTCATATAGCAAACATATAACTTATGGCTATAATTGGTGTGATTGAAAGCTATAGTAGTCTCATTTAAGGATAAATCCACTAAAGTTAATAGGGCTAGAGTTACAAAAATTAACAAGTATAAATTTCCCTAATTTCAACTGTTCAATTTAAGAATTCCATGATTCAGAAGCATGACATAAGGCTGAGGAAAGCTGTTCTATGAGGAACTATGCATGTTGTTACTACTAATACACAAGTGTCATATTAAAACATATTAAATGTGTCATTTAAATTCCCAGCACTAATTATGCATGCAATAATGATCCATAATTTTGACTGAACTTTTTCTCACAAATTCAGTACCTTTTAGGTGGTCTTTGGGACAAATACTAAGTTATGACAGTACTGAAAAAGGAAGCTTATAGCCAGCCCTCAAAATTGCACTGGTCACATTGTCCCCACAATTATATGATTGAAATTACAACAGATGCAGTGTGTTATAGTTGTGTGGTGACCATTTGTGACCTTCACTGCTGGCTTCCAGTAAGCAAATTCAATGTGGGAGCCCGCAGGAAGTCACAAGTTGTGGTCACATAATAGTGTGCTTAATGACTCTGCATAATTTGCTTAATTACTGCAACCAGAATTGCAATTAAGTCAGCATGGTGACTATATTGCTTAGCAATGAAGCATTCAATGCCAATTAGAGTTGTTAACTGAGGACTATCTGTACTTAAAAATAAGCTTGCCTAAGAGACTTTGCATTTCCCCAGGGCAGCAACTGTATACAGCTGTATGTAGTTACATAAATTAAAAAGTAAAAAAACCCACCCTAAGCATAACTATACATCTCTTACAACATTAATGAAAAAAAGAAACAGCACAAAGATGAGGTCCATAAAATCATAGACACTGAATTCTTAATTAAAAATTGAATATTTTTTGGTTCAAGTGGAACAACAGTAGCATAATCAAAAAAGAAACCTGAATCCCAACTGTTCACATTCTGCAATGAATCTCAACTTTCTACTTGCCTGTTTCAGTGTCTTTTTCAATTTCATGGTAATAGCAAACAAATTCTTCTGCCAGTTCCTTGGGAAATATAACTGGTTCAATAAAAGTAAGCATGGAATATAACTCTTGAAGATTGTTCTGAATTGGAGTACCAGTCAGCAGGAGATGGAAATCTGTTGAATACTAAAAGATGTTGTTGTTTAGCATTTACTTTTTGCATTATTTGTTAGACAACCAGGGATAAATCTGTTTAAAAGTAGCATTATGTTACATTATGTGCAATTTTACCCACAAATGATTACCAATTGATGTTAGGGTTAATTTTGCTTTGTATTTATCAAATATATTTTTATTGCTCAATGACCAAAATAAATTTTCTGTCTGTGTATAGTTTAGACACTGCAGAAGGGAAGAATTTAATTAATTGTATATGACTATCCGATCCACACATTGCAAGTTGGTAGATATAAGGAAGGGATGTGGGGACATGATTCGGAATCTTGCAATATTATTTTGCAATTAGTATCAAATGTAGAGGTTAGAATCCATTCCCTTTTTAGTAAAGTTGGAAAACTTGTGTCTTCTGAGAAAATTGTGTTTTTATTCCAGACATAAGCTGAATATTTTAAAGTTAATATTAATGTTGCTTCTTTTCGTATTGAATAAAAATGGCAATAATTTATCTTAAACTCAGATTGGATTTCTCCTCACATTAAATTAGAAATATACTGTTATTTAGTTGAGCCCTTTAAAGATAACCAAGAAACTGAAATCCACCGAAATGACCAAGAAGGCTATTAGGAAATATTCATCCTCTAACATTTGAACAAAACAAAATGTACTATTCTTTTACCTCAGATAATGTTTTATGAAGCAATGAATCCTGATTCTTCAGTCTCTGAGCTTCATCCACAACAAGACAAGTCCAGTTAAAACTGAACATAAAGAAAGACCAGAAATATAATGCATTCAGATCTATTGTTTGCTCAATTTTTTCATATAGTGAGTGAGATTAATTAAGGTTTAAGATATTAAAGTTTTATTTAGTAACTCAGAATTAGAAACTCTGAGAAATACTATATAAGATTTCCTTCTCCTTAGTCATATTTGAATAATTGTCTTTATTGCTTAGATGTTATAATAATGTGTACCAACTAATGCAAAAAATTACCAGCTGTCTTCCCTTCTCCCCAGTAACTGATTCAAATAAATAAAGCACAAAAAGGATACAATCTTTGTAATAACAGCCTTCATTCTAAAAACTAAAACTATTCATTTATAACTGGCCACAAATAGCCTTTGTGTTGAAAACATGATATTTGTACTGTGTCCTCACCGTTTTAAAAAAGCCGCATCTTTGAGGCACATCTGTAACCAAGCGAAAGAAAATTTCAAATGAGAACAAGTGTAATTTCCAGAGAAATTATTGCAGAAATAATTTTTATCTATGGAAGCAGAATTCTCATAAGACAGAATGGGCCAATCATTTGCTCCCTTCCTCTTATAAAATTTTCATATTTTGCAACATATTTCCTCCAATAGTTGTCCCTTTGCATTTTAATTTAAACTTGCATAATTATAATCTTAGGCAATACTTAGTTATATAGAAGCCTACTCAGAGAGAGAAAACTTTCCAGTACTAAAACTTCCAACAGGTCAAAGAAACCTTATCTATTCACAGACCTTGAGATACAGATTCAATCAATTAATTTTTTAATACGGTCGCAGATCAGCAAAAATACAGATCATGAATATTATAGTGGACATGGAGATTGGTCAAATTAAAACAGTCAAAATATTAATTAAAATATGTAATCATAAATACTAATGATATACCTCATAAGTAGTCAGCAGAATGTGGAAACCATGTTTTGATTTCAAATTCTGCTGTAGTTCAGCTCTTTCTTCTTTGCCTCCTGAATATACCACAGTGGAAAGGCATGGAGAAAACCTTTTTTGGATGTTTAAAAGAGTTATTGATCAATATCTCTCTTCTAATCAGAATTATAAATGTACAAACTGCATTGGTTTACTTATTCCAATGCTTTCTATTCTGTGATGCCAGAGACAAAACTTGACATTTTGTGTGCAAAGTACCTCTTTTCCTAACATAGCAAATTTCTGAAAATAATTATCTTATAGAGACAGACCTAGTAATGGAATGCTATCACTAAATTTGTAGACAACTGCATTTAAAAGAAATGTGTTGCACCTCACTGCATCATTTTTCTCAATGTAAATTTTACTATATTCCTTCTTATAAGCAAACAAAAAAAAAAATCAGAGAAAGTACAGGGAGTACCTTTTCCAACTAACAAATGTTAAAAAGCTTAGCTCACTTCAGCATATAGTCACTTCTTCATAGACTCACGCACTTCATCTATACATCCGATGAAGTGAGTTATAGCTCACAAAAGGTTTTACTAAAATGTAAGTTGGAAATATGCTACCAGATTCCTGATTATCAACAGGCATAGCATATAATTTGTAACAATTCTGTATTTAGGCACTGCCTAAACTGACTCTGGGCAGCTCACAAATTACATTTGAAACTTGCCAGAATGTGCTTCAAGAAATGTAAAAACTTTTGAAATGTTTACCTTTTTAATTCATCCCTCCAGTTGTTTAACACAGAGAGAGGGCAAAGGATCAAAAAAGGTCTCCTATGAAACTTCCCACTCAAAAAAACAAGCAGAGAAATAGTCTGAAATAGAATTAAAAATATTTTGAATTTATTTATCACACACAATGACACTCATTTTTCTTTTGACAATTAGGAAGTCATACATTTCATGTAGAAAGACAAATACCTGGCAAGTCTTCCCCAATCCCATTTCATCACCCAGAATACAGCCATGCCCAGTTTCATAGCAGCGTATCATCCAGTTTACACCTTCTATCTGATAGGGATGCAGATGAATATCTAAAAAATAAGACAGGAAAACTATTGCATTGGAACTCTTAACTTGTTTGAAATACAATTAATTTAATGAATTAGACATTAAACTTTGATTATGCAAAAGCAATCATGGTCATTTTCTTAGAACTTATGTCGACATAGCTATTTTCGCTAACATACTAGAAGGGGAGCAAAATGAGAGGAGCTACAATTTACTTACTATCAAAAGGCAAAACAATCTAATTTATGGAATAACATACCTATTCAAAGGAACTTACTTTTTAAATTCCAAACATAGGAATGTCAGTCTGACAACATATTTGTTATTTTTTAAGACAAGGGATTTTTAAGAAGATAACTACTTATACATCTTTCCTCTGGACAATCAATAAATTCTTGATTTGGAAAACTACAGAAGTATCTGAACCACTTAATACTGAATTAACAAGGTACTTATTCACTTTAGGTTATCTTCACATCACCTGGCTTTTTGAACAGGCAATGGACAAAGGTACTTTGTACATTAATCCCATCAAATGATGGGATGGCTGAAACTAGTTTTTAATATACAGTATTTAATTACCATTGCTTACTTTTTATACCTTTTGCATTTAAATAAAAACATGATTTTATTGAATTAATTCAATTCCCTGGCTGCCCCGAGTACCAACTAGCTTGTCAATATAGTTTAACTAAGTTGATCTATGGATTCCATCTTTAAGAAAAATGGCTCGAAAAGAAACTTACCTGTCAAACCCCATTGGAGTAATTGCTCCTCTTTAATACTTTCGCTTCCCTGTCTGGAACCGTATTTGTTAGAAATAGTTTGGAAAAAGGAAGACATCACACAGGCCTCAAAGCAGCAAACTCCGATCCCTCCTCCTTCAGCAACTTTTACTTTCCAAAACAGTTACCGGAAAGAAAGTAATGGGCAGGTTTATATGGATTGGCTGGTTAGAAAGAACTTCGCGTCGTAATTGGCTTTTGCGGGAACCGGGGCGTGTTCTAGAAATAGCATCATTCTGTGGAAGGGTGACGCTGCTCACACGGGCCTTTCGATATTTTATCTGCGGGGTTGTTTTTACGCTGCTTTGCATTTTCTTGTTGACTCTGCCTATGTATATACAGTATAACATTACTGAATAATACTAAATCTTAAAATTAACCCTATTTGAAACAATGTAAGAGGATTAAGATTGTGGGTTGTTTTCCCAAGAGCAACGGCACGTCCTAGCAGATTTCCTACCCAAAGGGTACTGAATCGATCCGCACCCAAAGTTGTTTTAACTTTTTAGTAAAAATAATCAGCTCTCCAACCACATTTTAGCCTGTTATGTCGAGTGAATTCAGGCCGTATGGATTTATCTTGTGACACCCTCCCGCCTCACCCCAAATTGGAGCGAAATGTTTGGCATTTATCGGTCATCGATAAATGAACAAGTGAAACTAGGCAGGGACTCACCTTGAAAAGAGCTTGAAAGGAGCAGTGTAACAGGAAAGAATGAATGCCCCGTATTAAAAGTTAAGAACCATCTACTGAGTCCCTAATTATACAAGACTATAATTGCTCTGGCCGTTCCGCCCCGCCGTTAAAGATTTTTGCCATTCAAGGACTTCTATAATAGCAACATCTCGCTGCAGGACCAGAGCGGAATTGTGCGGGACTCGGTTGATATTACCTATCACTTAAATTTTGTCCCCTCAGGGAATGTGCCTGCAGAAAACAAATGCCCAGCAAATCAAGCTATACTGCTCCCATTAAACCATAAAAAAAAAAATCAGATATGATTTATTATGACAATCCAACTTTTGCCGCTATTCTCTTGTATGTTGGCGAACCAGGAAGAATCGAAAAAAATAAGTATATTGTGTATATCTTTTAAAATCTCTCAGCGTCTCTGTTAACACAACTCACTTCTCCTTTATAGCTTTAAAGTGGTGTCGGTGGAGATCTCCCCCAGTGGTACAAACATGCGATTAACCGAAATCGAGGGGTTCAGCAGGCGGCTATGCTTCTATTCAGGCATGTTGTGCGATCGAATTACGGAAAAATACCAAGCTGAGGCGTCAAATTCCGATTCCCTAAACTAACGGCAAAAAAATAGCTGCTTTCCTGAAGCTCCGCCTCCACCCCAGTAAAAAGCTGCGAGAGACGGAGGGAAGCATTTTGTAACTCTCTTCCTTCGGCTTTCTGCTAATCTCCTTTTCCGGGCCGCACCGGCCATCTGAGCCATGAAGGACGAAGGCTGGCAAGTATCGACGGTGGCCTGGGGAGCCGCGCTTTTCGTTCTGCTTTATTTAGGTTTTGTGCGGCGTGTTACTGGTGCTGCTGGCACCGCTTTTTACCGCCGGCGGTGGGGCCGCTTCGAAAAATCTAGGAATCCCCCTGTGGACGTGGTGAGTGAGGTTGTAAAGACAATTGCACGTTTGAGGGGCGATATTCGCATCACCCATGCTATTTCTGGTAGGATGGATTATCTGCAGGAGGCAGTGCGAGATAGAGGGGCAGGGAGAGTGCTGAGCTGTATAGTGGCTTGAGAGTCTGCCGCCGCCGCCGCCGCCGACAACGGAGTATACTTACCCAGGCTGTTACTTTTCGCTGTAGACATTATAGGAGAGTTGTGGTGGCAGAAAATCAGAAGGAGTGTAGTTAACTTCCAATTAACCCATTTTATGAAAACGTGCAAGCTTTCCTGAGTATATAATGAATCTCAGGAAAGCTTATGCCTTTTTATAAAATTGTCTTTAGGACAAAAAGAACAGATATAAATGGGCATCATGTCTGGAGGTCATTTTGAACATGAGCAATAAAGCATGTGGGGGCCCCTTTGCTGTCCCAGGAACTCTTCAACAAAGGAGCCCTGGAATGCTTTCCTTGGACAGTAAAGATGACAAACAAGTACTGGAGTATATAAAACCAAGCTGGAAGGCAAAAGTCACAAAATTCCGCATTACTTATTTGAGCCATGTAAACAAGCTCACTGGAAAAGGCAATTTTATTTTGAAGGGTCAACCCCAGTTTTAGGATTCAGCTGGTTTGCACCAATTCAGCAGAACTGGTAGCTAATGTTTTGTGGCCCAGGCCCAGAATGGACATCAAGAAGCAGCATCTATACAGAGAACCGGTTGTTCACATATTTGAATCCCACCACTGGTCAGCCCTCCAAAAACATGACGGGTATATACCAGGGGTCGGCAACCTTAAACACTCAAAGAGTGTTTGGACCCGTTTCTCACAGAAAAGAAAACACTGGGAGCCACAAAACACTTTTGACATCTAAAATTAAGATAACTCCACATATATCCTTTTTTACCTTTATGCTATGTATAAAAAAACTATAGTGTTGCATTTATGAAATCAATGAACTGCTATAAAGAAAACAAATTTTTATGCAGGAGAAAGAGGGGAAAAAACCCTTTCTCCATTTCAACAGGTGAAAACAATTTTAGTAGCTTATCTACCATCTTTAAATACAGCATAGTTATCCCCATACCTCATTTCTTAATTTTAAAAAAATCAAAATATTTCATTAAACATTCTTTATTAAAAGTCCAGTAAGGACAACATATATTCATATTTTCTCTCTCTTTCCTCTCCCTCCCTCCCCTCTCTTTCTCTTTCTTCTCTCTCTCTCTTTCTCTCCCTCTTTCTCTTCTCTCTCTCTCTCTTTCTCTTCCCCTCTCTCCCTCTCTTTCTTTCTTCCTCTTTCCCTCCCTCTCTCTCCCTCTTTCCTCTCCCTCTCTCTTTCTCATTCCTCTCTTTCTCTCTCCCTCTCTTTCTCTCCCTCTTTCTTCTCCCTCCCTCTCTGTCCCTCTTTCTCTTTCCTCTCCCCCCTCTCCCTCCCTCACTCCCTCACTCCCTCCCTTGCTGTGTCTCTGCCACCAATGTAAGCCCTGCATGCGGGGAAAACCCAGCACTGGGGACTAATTTTTTGCCTCTTCCGGGCGATGGGAGAAGAGCGGGCCGATCGCCTTCCCAGCAGCCGGGACTCCAGCGCACCTTCCCGGCCAGGGGGGCCAACAGTAACACCGGCTGGGGATTGCAGGGGTTGCACTCCCTCGGGGCCGCAGCTTGCAGGAGGACTGGCCTGCTCAATGGAGGCTCCAGCAGGACGCTCCCATGGGGGGATCCCGGGGCTGCCCCGCACGGCTCCCAGCCACATGCGCCTTGGATGGGGCCAGACCGAGAAAGGGACTTCCTGGCCACGCTTCTCCCAGGGGGTGGGGTGCCTGGGTGCAGGGTCAATCAGGAGCCCCACGAGAGAAAGAGAGAGAGAGAGAGAGAAAGTGCCCTTCTCTGTCTCTGTCTCTCTCTCTGCAAATGGCGGAGGAGGACGAGCTGCCATAGACGGCTGAAAGAGCCGTATATGGACCTGTGGTATATACCCATGGTGGCAAACCTATGGCACGGGTGCCTTCGCTCCAGTCCTAGGCCTTCAGTTGGGTTTTATATAACCTTTTCGCTTTAGACCTCTGCCACCGTGTGCAAAAAAAAAAAAAAAAAGGTTCAATCAATCAATCAATTTCAACTTCTGGCGAGAAAAAAAATCTTGCAAAGTTGGAATTGATTGATTGAACTTTTTAGTCCCACCCAGTCTGCCATTACCACTGAAGCCACACCCACCCAATGGGCCACACCCACCCGGCACCCGATGATACATAAGTGGGTTTTGCGTTGCAGTTTGGGCACTCGGTCTCTAAAAGGTTCGCCATTACTGGTATATACCATCAAAGCGGACAGCATAACACAACTGAAAGCTGTACAAAAAATTGTGGCTTCTAACAAGGGGGAAGGGAGTAAGAATATATGTGAAAAGTTTACCCTAGATGCTAGAAAAAACAAGTCAGAGGGGAAAATGATTCATAATAGTAAGCTTTCAGACTGAATCTGAGAAAATAACAATTACCTCAAATTATATTAACAACGTTCTATAAAAGATTTTTCAATTATTTCTTAAATTCATCAAAGGTAATTTCTTTATCCCTGGAGAAATGAATGATTTCCCTCCCCTACATGTAGATATAACTATTTCATCTAAAAGGATTTCCAGTAAATTCCCCTGTACTCTCCAAATTCCCTCTCAGACTGTATGTCATCTTTTTTGGATATATGGAGATATCTTATATCTTACAGAGAGGGAATACACTATTTTATATAGAATAAGATATTAGGTTAAATATTTAGGAATGTATTCAACAATAATGAATATATAAGGATTTATTTAAAAATATACACAGAGCTGAAAAAATGTGATTTCTAGCTTATCAGTGCCAAATTATTTTTAACTCTGAACTGTATTTAAGATTTAATTAGATTTAGATATCTTTGAAATTACAGTAATATGCTGTGGTAATTATTTTGGAGGGGCATCAGTATTAATTTGATTTAAAAACAAAACAGTTTAGCTAATAGATTTATCGAGGCAATACTTCTGTAGCCAGTATGTGTTTTCTCTCTATTTCTAGTGGTCCCCCAGACTGTCTGGCTTTCCTCTACAGCTTTGCGTGCACCTGGCCAATACAGTGAGTATCCAGCCTTTCCTCCTTCTTTTTTACTTTTTCTTTTACTGCTTCGGGTGCCGAGGGAGATACAAAGTTCTGGTTCTTGCACTTCTAGTGGCCTCAACCATTGTTATTTGATGCTGTTGTTGTGTATCTTTGATGTTGTCTCTTCTTCTTCTTCTTCTGAGTCTGCCTTGTGTTCTTTGGCATTCTCCTCTTTTTGTAAATGCCTTTTATAATATAGAATCCCAAGACCAATATGGTTAAAAGTTGTACTCTTCAAACTACAACTTCTACATTTATAGCATATCTCTTGATTTTCAGTGAGGATTATCAGAGGTAAGGCTAGGCAACTTGGTAGTTTCCAGGTGATTTGGACATAAATTTCCAATTTGTCCACTTGATCTTAAGGCCAAAAAGCAAAGTAATACCAGTTAGCAAAAAGGTAACAAGAACAACTTAATCTTATTTTCCAACCAAATTGTAGTGTATAATCAGTAAATTATTTACAAAATACCTGTTTCAAAAACTTGCTGATTGGTTGAACTGAGAGAAACAAATAGCTGCAGAATAAACAGGTTTTAGATTAGGCTTTTCAAGAGTGGATTAATGTATCAGTATCTGTGAAATAACCTGTCAGATGCCTATCTTCGCTTTCTTTGAAGCTTGCCAGCAACTGCCATAAAGAGTGGAGAGGAGGCATTTGGGAGGGGAAGAATGCTGGATTGGGAAAGAATGCTATGAGAATTTGGGGAGTATGGACACTAACTGGAACCAGAGGTGCCAAACTGAGCATCTGCCTACTCTCAAGGACACCAGCCCTGGGAAAGGAATTTACAAGTGCACCTGAGGCACCAGGTTCCCAAAACATTGGACCAGGACTGGATTGAACTGCTCTGGCCAGGGAGAGGGCTTTGGACATCGGGGATCGCTTTCAATATATGATTTTTGCGCGGGTTTCCTCAGAGCTTGCCTTTTTCATGCTGCACTCAGTATCTCTAGTAAAAGTACCTTTCCTTTGACATCCATGGAGTCAAGGGTCATTCTTTCCTAAGGACTAAACTGTGGCAAGTCTAATATAATGCCAGATAATCTTTAATTCCATCTCTATTAGTAACATTAAAAATGAAGGCATTATTTCATGCAATTCTCTTTGACAGGCTATGACAGAAATTTGCAGCCTTTCCTGTTGACCACCATTCTCTGTGATTAATTATAATGCTTCGTGAGAAGCTTCATGCAGGTTAGATGAACAAATGGCAGAGAATTGACGACAACTTTCCAACCTCCAAAAGAGTCAAGCAGAGTCAAGAGTTATGTATTCTGATCCCTCTATTATTATGACATTGTATACAGTGAGGGAAAAATTATTTGATATCCTGCTAGTAGAAGTAGTGTATACCTTTTTTTAATGAACATTATCAGCACTTTTGATCAGTGACGTCATCAAAGTAAACAAACCCACGTGCTGATTACGTCAACAGGTCATGGCCCTAAACGGAAGTGATGTGCTCAGCTCCCACCCTCCGGCTGTGACGTTTTGGCCTAATCCCATCAAGATTGGCAGTCAATCCTCTGGGTACATGATTAGGTTAACCCTAGACTAATTCTATGTACATTCAAAACCAAAAAGAGCTAAGTAAAGTGAATAATTAGCAGAGGGCTGTGTTTTTGGGAAACAATCCCTACTTTGGGGAGCTGTGAAATAAAAAATAAAAAAGGCTTTTTATTTCTAATCATTCTAGCCTAACGATGCTTTTAATTTTTGTGGAATTTTAAAAATCAGTGCCTCAAAAGCTGGGGAAAAAGAAGCCCCTGAAAGACAGCCAGAGCCTGCATTTAATCCCTTTTTTCTAAAAGGTATTTTTTTCTAAAAGGTATTTATTTCTAGGTGGCTTTAAAATCATTTCCTCGAATGCAGGGGAAAAAACAAACAAACCACCGCCCCTTTTAAAACCCACAGCTGGTTTTTACCTTTGTAAAAAATCTAAAGACACATATTTTGCCATTTGCACCCTGAATAAAATGTATTCTGGCCCCACTATAGCAAAAGACAAGGAATATTAACAGGAATTAAAATGCTCACAAGAGGCAAGCAGCCAACCATGCTCACAAGAGGCAAGCAGCCTTGCAATAGGGTTTTAAAACTTGTTCAGGAATGTCAGGACCGCGATTCCGGGCATGCGTGTTTCTGTCTGTCTGCTAGTAAAAAAGGGTGTTAGGCCTTGTTTGGGACAAGCCCGGGCATGTCATGCTCCCCGTGATCTGGGCATGCGCAATGTCAAGGGTGTATCATTGCAAGGGGCAGGGGAGTTTGTGCGGGCAGGGACATGCCCGGGCATGTCATGCTCCCCGTGATCTGGGCATGCACAATGCTCAAGGGCGTGTCATTGCAAGGGGCAGGAGAGCTTGTGTGGGCAGGCCTGAACAGCTAGCGATTTAATCCCAGCAGTCTTTTGAAGATGGCAGCCTCTGATGGAGATTTGTTTGATGTAAATTTGACCCCCAAACCACCCAAGCGTGGGCGCAGAATAAGAAAGGGTCCTGAGTTATACAGTTTCATTGAAGAGAACAAACTTATAAAGCCTTATAAGTTATAACCAGATTCTGCAAAACATCAAATGGTAAGTATTTATCTATATCTCTATCTATCTATCTATCTATCTATCTATCTATCTATCTATCTATCTATTCAATAATGATGCTAAAAATGCAACTCCCGGGCATAATTATAAATAGAATAAATGATGCGCGATCACCGGGAGAGTTAAAAGTAAAAATACTTTATTAAAAGTATTTCACTATATTAAAAAGGTGCCAAGCTTTCGTTGGGAAATACACGATGACATTGGGCTGAGTCCCCCCGCTGCGACGAGAACCATTGCCACCAGGAGAGAGAGGAACATGAGCTTGCAAATAACCCCGGAAGTCAACAATGGAGAAGTAAACAGAACAGCTCGAGAGAGCAACGAGAGGGAGCATTGCGCCGTTTACTCTCCCCACTTATCAGCTGATCAACTAGGGCCGGCAGCACGATCTAGGAGTCGCACGCGGACAGCTACCGAGCCCATTTAAACCACCTTGTCAAAATGATCTCTCAGCCCTGAAGATGTTGGGGAGTTTTCCCAACGAAAGCTTGGCACCTTTTTAATATAGTGAAATATTTTTAATAAAGTATTTTTACTTTTAACTCTCCCGGTGATCGCGCATCATTTATTTTTTATATATATATATATATATATATATATATATATATATATATATATATACACACACACACACACACACACACACACACACATACATACATACATTAAGAAAACAGTATTTTGATTGGTTGAAATAGATAGCCTAAATCTAACTTTATTTCCTGCTTTAGAAACGGCGGAGTCTCAAAATGTCAGCATGCCTCAGATTCTGAAAGCGTGTATCATTAAAATATTACACCACTGCTTAATGAGATGTCTGCAATCAGATAAAGACCATGTGGATGGTACCAGTGAAACAACATATTAACAGCTTATGCTTTAGACTTTCTATGCCTCATGTTCTCTGGATCATCATCAGTATTTCTGACAAAATGAATAACTTATATTTCACCCAGGGTTCCCTTCATGAGCTCAAGACATTCATACAGCGTATCGAAAAGAGCTGTAAACCACTGTCATTAATGTCAAAGATTGAATCTGAATTGCCATTGTCTCTGAAGAGATTCATATGCCAAAATGTAACAGAAATTAATTACAAGAAGCTCTTAATGCTATGAAATTTATAATAAAATGGGCTTTACAAATCACATGAAAGATGTATTATGTTTTTCTTTTGCTGACCCCTGTTTAACTTTGGCAGATGTTAAACACAATTTAATCAAAGCTCAAGGGGTATTATTCAATTGGGTTTTCCTGATGAGACGGGGCTGGCCAGATTTGCAAACGTTGTGAAGAACTCATCAACTCTGATGTGATTAATTTGTAATATTATGTGCTGTTTAAATGCAGCTTTGCAAAAGTTGTGAAAAACACACCTCCTCTGATGTGATTAATTTGTGACATCACCAGCGTATACAAAAGCAGGGTCCATACTGGTCTAGTCACATTTGCTGGTTTCTGGCATATCTGTACCTCCGGAGCCATTTGATCTGCTAAGAAGACCCTTTTCAGAATGGAAGCCACTATTGTAAGTAGTTTTATGGCTAATTTTTGAAACACTTAGATGCAAAATGGAGTTTTAAAATATTCTTGTCTGCTTGCTTGTTTGACTGATTGTTTTATTTCGCTACAATGAATTGACAGACTCAGAATGTTTGAGGGTGTATGAAGGTATTTGTCTTTCATATTTTCATACATTTAGATTCTGGTAAACATTTCTGCAACAATTCTGAACATTGGGGTTTTTTTTCCTTCAGAAAGGGAGGATGACTTGCCTTTTGTGGAGTTTACATACCCCCAAGGGGCCCAGCATGACAAAAGCCCCCAGCCATGCACAAGCTACACAACACGAATGCTGTTAGGAGGTATAATATCTAACATTTTATCCAACTACAAAACCATTAGTATTATTTTTTAGAAACAAAAAGGGGGGGTATTACATTATTAGGAATGTTGGTGATAGCCTTTTGTTTGTTTGTTTGTTTAACCAGAGCCGGCCTGCAAAAAAGCAAAAATGCATGGAGGTGGACTTCCCGCATCCCCAGCAGACAGCCATAAATGTGATTCCATACCTGCATCTCAATCAGAAGGGGAGATATGTCATTCTACGCCACAGCTACAAGCCCCTTACTCTGCAAACTCTCAGAATATGAACAATGTTTATCTGGATATGGTACAGGAATGGGAGAAGCCTATCAGAAATTTCAGGGCTGTGGAATATTATCAACACTATAGATTTATTAATCTTGACCGAATCCAGTCTTTTGTAGATGCTGTAGAAGCTATTCATAATGTGATACAAACTCTTTTGAATAATGTTGCTAGGGACATAGGACCAAACGATTTTGTTCAACTCAGGCTGGATGCAGAGGG